AATAGCCTTCCTATACATGAATAAGAAATTCACTGAAACCATACTCATAAGTGAAATAAATCAGATTTGCATGTCAAAATATTGTATCATCTCCCCAGTGTAAGAAACTGAAAGGGTAAATAAGATCCAAAAGGCACAATAGATGTAGTGAAAGAAAAGAAATGCTCAAAAGGAAAGAACAACTGGGATGGGGGAAAAGAGCCTAGAAAGGAGGGGGAAAATATGTATATATACACAAATAGATAAGATAATTGAACTACTAAGTTCTATTAGTTCATTGAAAGGAACAGTTAGTGCTTATATTGTTTGATCAATTTTGCGTGCCTGTATCTGGTAATCTGAGCAATTACTTTGAAGATAACAATATGCAATATAGTAACCACTGTTAATTTCCTATCATCTTTTTTGAAATTGTGTATCATTTTTATTATTTTTCCTTTAAAATAAAAAATGAAACCCACTGAGAGAAACTGAGGAAACAATACTTTTCACAATAGTATCAAGAAAAAGGAAATACTCATGAATCAACCTAATAAAGTAAATGAAAGACCTTTTCATCGAAGATTATAGTACTCTGGAAAAGGTGATCAGGGGCAGATGAGATAGCTCAGTGGTGTAAGCACCTGCCTGGCAGGGAGCCAGGTTCAATCTCTAGCACCACATGCCATGGTAGCCCCACACTGGATATGTTGAGCCAGCCACTGAATCTGGGCTTGGTGGCGCACACCTATCATCCCAGCATTGGAGAGGCTGAAACAGGAGGATTACTATGATTCTGACCTGTGTATTGAAACCCTGTACCAAATGCATAAAATTAAAAATAAATAAATAAAAGGAAATCAAAGAGGACTTCAGAAAGAGGAAAGCTATCCCTTGTTCTTGGATAAATAGAGCCAATATAATGAAAATGGGCATACATCCAAAGCTGTGATGCAGATTTAATTCAATACCCATCAAAATATCAACAACCTACCTCACAGAACTAGAGAAAATCATAGAATTCACATACAATCAGAAGATACCTAGACTAGCAAAAGGAACTCTGGGCAAAAAGGGCAATGTAGAGAGAATCACAAGTTATACTACAAAACTACTGTGATATAAAACAGTATGGTACTGGCAAACAGCAGCAGCAGCAGCAGCAACAACAACAATAAAAGTAAACATAAACAAAACAACAAAAAAACTGACTAGAGGATCTATGGAACAGAATAGAAGATGCAGAAACAACTCCAAGCACACTTGGCTACCTTTGACAAAGGAACCAGACACCTTCACTAGAAGAAAGATAGCCTCTTTAATAAATGGTGCTAGGAAAACTGGATTTCCACATGCCAATGATTGAACCTAGACCATATCTCTCGCTATGCACTAAATTAAAATCAAAGTGGATCAAAGATATAAATATAAAACCAGAAACACTCAATCAGCTGGTAGACAGAATAGGTAAGACTCTTAAAGACATAGGTGTAGGCAAATACTTCACGAACAAAATCCTGATCACACAGGAAATACCACAAAGAATCAATGATTCTGATCACATCAAATTAAAAAGCACTTGCATAGCAAAAGAAGCCACCAGTGGAGTGAAAAGACATCTCTATGAATGAGAAAAGATTTGACCAGGTAATCCTCAAAGGACTAATATCTAGAATATAGAACTCAAAAAAATCAGACCTCCCAAATTCAAACACCCAAATCAAATATGGAATCTGAAATGAAGACACTTCTCAGAGGAAGTACAAACAGCACCTGAATATCTAAAAAAAGTGCAATATCACTGGACAATCATGAAATGCAAATTAAGATGACACTGAGATTCCATCTCACTCTAGAAATAATGGCTATCATCATGAAATCAACCATTAACGAATGCTGGTGAGGCAGTGGAGGGAAAAGAAATACTTGTCCATTGTTGGCAGGTTCAACCAACCATCTGGGGCAATCACAATGGAAATTAGTGTGGAGATGCCTCAAAAAACTAAAACTAGACTCGCGGGACCGAGGTGGCAGAAAGACCAGAGCTCTCGCTGCCAGCCCAAGGAAGGATGTCTCCCGGCCTGCAGCAAGGGGCCCAGCTGAGGGAAGGCAAACCCTCACCCTGCTCCTTTTCCATCGAGCGCATCTTAGGACTGCACCAGAAGAAAGACGGGGTGCCGCCGCTGAAGCCTCACAGGCCCTGGGCAGATGCCTGCAGCTCCTCAGGGAAAGATGGTAACCTGTGTCTACCTGCCCCGAGTCTGCCTAGCACAGTGGATCACCCAGGGACAGAAGAAAGAGTTTTAAACCATGAACATTACCTCTCAACCTCAGAAAGACTGGCCTTGAAAAGAGAGATGAGCTGGTGCAGAGGACGAAGACCAAGAACTGCGTTTACTCAAAACCAGATTGAAGTATTGGAAAATGTCTTTAGAGTAAACTGCTATCCTGGCATTGATATCCGAGAAGACTTAGCTCAAAAATTAAATCTAGAGGAAGACAGAATCCAGATTTGGTTCCAAAACCGGCGGGCAAAGCTGAAAAGGTCCCACAGAGAATCACAGTTTTTAATGGCGAAAAAAAATTTCAAAGCAAATCTCCTGGAATAGATAGAGGAAAACTAAACCTCGGGAACTATCTTTCAATCGCAGAATGTGAAGAATCAATAGAAATATCAAGGGTTTAAAATGTGATGTTTTCTTTCTTGCATTTTATTCAAAGATTGTCATTTTTCTCTGAAAATAATATTGTAAATAATGGTGATTATAGCATGATACATACTATATTGGGGCACTTTTACTTACACTAAAGACCTTTCCTATATATTTTAATAAACATTTTCAGAAAAAGCAGCTATTTTAAGTAAATAAAGTTAATCTAATAAGTCAATATGCTAAACTCAATAAACTCATGACTTCCCGTAAACTCAATTCCATTTCCAAAGTACTTCAAGTAAAATAATCTGGAAAAGAAGAGTACAGTTTACTTTAGTTAGCTTCCGTTGAGCATATTTTCAAATCTGATTATGTTTTACTATATTGTAGAATATGATTTATTTGGGAATCTTCAGTTTTTATTGTTTTATGGAATAAATCTTCATATATCAAAAAAAGAACCTTAAAACTAGAGGTTCCATTTGACCTAACAATTCCCTTTCCAAGCATCTTTCCAAAACAGTTAAAAGCATCATGCCACAGTGATATATACGCATACCCGTGTTTGTAGCAGCACAATTTATAATAGCTAAATCTTGGAGCCCATGTACCCAACATCAGATGCATAGCTAAAGAAATGTGGTATTTATATACAATGGAATACTGCTCTGCCATAGAGAAGGACAAACTTGAGCTATTCATTGGTAAGTGGATGCGTCTCGAGACCATACTTTGAAGTGACATAAATAAGACAAAGAGGTTTAAATACCATATTGTTTCTATTTTGTGAAAAACACTAAGGCTAATGAAGGAGCAAAATAAAACATAGATACTGGGAAGTAAGAACACCTTTAAATGGGAAGGGGAACAAAGGAAAAGGGATTTTTAAAAGGAGAATAGAGAAACAATGGAAACGAACCTTCTGTAAATGGGGAGCGGAAGGAGTTAAAGGGAGGGAAGAGAAATGAGAAAAAAGAAGAAAGATATACTTTGTACAGGTACAAATTTCCTATGATCAGTATGAACACTATATATGGCAAATATGCACTCAATACCCTAAACAGTATCTCATATTTCTGAGAATGAAAGGAAAGATGTTTTTATGTTGTTCTTCACAAACATATGACAGGGCGACATGACAAGAGTAGCATGGAGCTTGCAATTCTGTTGTATAGAGACTTTATCCAGAAGAAGAGGAGGAAGTGCAAGGGGGGCAGAGCTGGCTGGATACCGTGGAAGGGGCATGCGTAAGACTCAGAAAGCCAGACTTAGCTGATTTCTAGCCTTGTGAACTGGGAGTAAAGCATATCATCATTTGGAGCTCCTTCTTCACCCGGAGTTGCCAATAACTGCCTTGCTAAACTTATTAGCTTATCTTTAATAAGGTGATTTGTATGAAAATGCATTGGAATATGGGGCATTATATTTGTGGGTTATCTAAAAGACTTCTTCATATAAAAGGCATCAGTATACTTTTTTTTTTTTTTTTTTTTTGCCTGAGAGCACAAACCCAAAACCATTGGTTAGTGCCATCAGGGCACCAACAGAACATGATGGAAAAACAGAACCTTGGAGCTTGGGAAATGGTCATTGGTTGTTTCGTAAGAAAATGAGCTTCCCAATAATGGAAGTGTGCAAGAAGTGGTTGGATATTTATTCTAGGATAATCATATCAAGTTGATGAAGCACCTACCCTGAAGGAAAACATCTACAACATCATCGGGAAATCTAAGGATTTGTGACCCACCACCAACAGGTCACAGGATTTAATGTGAGGATTTTTTAATTGTTGTTGTTGTTGTTTTTTGCAGTACTGGGGATTGAACTCAGGACCTTGCGCTTGTCAGGCAGGCACTTAATCTACTGAGCTATCTCCCTGGCCAACACATGACTTAAAATATACCAGCGTGGCAGTGATGTTACATTGGTTCACATGTGCATTCATGCACTTTGCCCTTCTGAGTTTTCCTTCCTTATACACGTGTCTTATGGCTGGAAGGTACAAATCAGAATAAGGCTAGCTGGAAGCTCAGGGATTAAAAGTTTGGCCCATTACATCAACCTAACTGTTGAGCATTTTCTGGTACCTGCTGTGCAAACCCCAATTCTATTTACTGGAGATACAAAGAGGATTCATGGCCCAACCTCAGAGATGGGGTTTTATTTTCCTAAAAAATCCAGAAGAAGTACAGCATTCTAGAAAAGTATTGACAAGATTGCGCTGTAAGTAGTATAATGCAGTAAAAAGGATAAAGGTATTTTAGAAATCTATCAAAGTGTGACTTGCTTTATCATGCTTCTACCTGACTAAACATCAGAACACTGGGGAAAAATGTTCAGGCAATGTGCAAGCAAATATATACATACCCCAGCCAACAATGCAGAATTTAAGGATGTATTTTCGGATATAGGTATTAAACACTTTGACAAGGGCCAGGTACATATGGAATGCTTCCAGGCCCATCCATGTGAATGAGACCAAGAGAAAATAATGAAGAAATACAGCCACTGAGATGCAGAGGCTTCGTGTGTTATACAGAGCAATCCATGAGTCCAGAAGGAAAACCAGGTTCAGCAAAAGGAGGGCAGCACATAGCTGGATGAGGATTTTGGAAGGGTAATCCCTCCGGATTTTTCTAAAAGGAAAGAGCAAGAAAAGAATTAGCATTATTTTCAGTCAACCCTTATATAAGCATATTTTTCAGGCTGTTTCTGAGTTCTAAGTAATTTATTTTATTCTGTGGTGAATGTATATATACATAAAATTCATCTCTTTTAAATAGGTATTGTACCAGGAGGACATTAAAGCCAACAACCGAGTAAAAATCTAAACAGACTTACCTCTGATAACCATATGGAAAAATTTGTGTTTACTTTTCTATGAGATCTTTTGCATACTGACTACTGACCCACTCTTTTCAATAGTTTGTAGTTATTTGACCATCCACCTCCTTCTCCTAAACTGCTCCTGGAAGCATGGCTGCTGCTTCTCATAAGAAGCTGATATATTCAGAATTTCAAAATATGCCAGATTCCCATATTATATTATTAATTAAAATAAGATCACAGACAGGAGGGTTTAAATTATAGTTAATATAATAGCATAGGAAAACACAGCTAATTGATAGCATGTACCTGTCGATGTATACAAAATTAAATCTGGGGAAACATTCTGAGTTAAGGTTAGTCTTACAGTAATTTAGTCTCACTAACCATAGTTCCAAAGCTCCACTAGACAGCTGTAGTCATAGCTATATCTTAGTTTGGCACTGAAAATAAATTTGTACATTTCCTGATCAGTGTCCAAAATATAACCCTAGAATCTACATATTGTCTCATTTAGTTAATGTTATAAGAATGCTTCTTTCTTTCTTTTCTAATAGAATATGTTAGAATTTACCATAAAACGTGACCAAAGGAACCCCTCTGATAAGCCTAGATTTTTTTGTGGGTGGTTCTTGCTTTGTGATATACAAAACCACATTCACTGAGTATCTATTTCTTTACAGCAAGGTTTTATATCCTCCTTCTTTATCTCTGTATCTTTTCAGTATAATTTATATTTCTATTTTATTAATAATTCCATTTTACATAGTACTATGGTCAATTTCAGACCATAACCTCTTGGATTTCTAGATCTGCATCTTTTATTTATTTCATTCTCAATGTGAAGTAGGTACCAAGCATACTCTGGAGTGCATAGATGACCAAAACACAACTCTTGCTTTCACCAAGCTCACAGAACAGTAGAAGGAAGCAAGTACAGAAGCCGAAAGGCCTCATAAAGTGTCTTATCTAGGTTCTCTGCTAGGTGGGTGTACAGGGCAGTTCAAGGAGGCACTTCAATTCTAAAGATGGAAGTGAGCACTGGGTTCTACAACACAAATTTTCAGCTATGGATACTCACTCAAAGGCTATGTAGGTGACAAGAGTAACTGACAGAAAAATTGAAGAAAGGCCACAACCAATATATGTGATAAATGTCAGAGCCATCATTTGACCAGATGGTAAGGATGTCCGAGATAAGTCCTGTAAAAGAAAATATTTATTTCTATAATAAAATATTTTTAAACAATAGAAGTCATGATTTATGTTTATGGAATGTGCTAAGTACCCATTCACACTCTGTAACCAACTTAAGGAGGCCGGCAGAATTTTCACGGGATGAACATATGGAAAATGAAACCCAGAGAGGTTGTGTAATTTGCCTAAGGTCACACACTTAGGAAGTGGAATCAAGGCTCATATTCAGGTCCGTCTGACTCCAAACTGTGTACTTGGTCATTGCATTTTAGTATGCTGGAAAAGCACTGGACTATGAGCTTAAAGAGTGGCATTTGCCTTCTGGCTCTTTCATCTGAGTTCTGTGACTATGGGCAATCCTGTAAGTCTGACTTTTAATTTAAATAAAATGCCAACAACATTGTCCCATTCTGTAGGACTACTGGGAAGGTTCAATAAGATCATTTACATCAAAATTTTTGCAGAAGTTTTAAAATGTATTGCAAACTAATCAATTTCATTCTAATCTGAAATCCTTAGTCCTCTTTGCCATAAAGGAGAAAATCTTGAATGTGACAATATGATGTGAAACAATATTTGACCATTAATCTGTCAATTTGATTGGATTGAGAAATGCCTAACAAATTAGTGAAAAACACTGTTGGGTATGCCTGGGTGGGTCACAGAGAACCCACTCTGGGAACTATATAAAGTCCCTGGTGCCTTTCCTCTATGACACTGTTCCCTATTCTGCTTCCCACCTGTCACGAAACAAGCACTTTTCCTTCACTACATCCTTCTTTCATGATGCTTTTGCCTTTAAATTGTGAATGTCAGGTGGTTTGTCTTAGAGTTGTGAAAGCTAATACAACTTATATTCCATTTATACCATACTCAAATAGTTCCCTTCAGATGCATTCACTTATTAGAAGAGGGAAGATTGAGTTTAGTTATAGAAACAATGAAAATCCATTCAGAAAGGCGTATGAGATTGTATTTTGTTTGGTGATGCTAGAGGAAAATGTAAGACAGTTATACTATTAGTATCTCTTAGTTCATTAAAAAAGGAATTTTTTTTTACTAATATCGAGTGGCGAAATTTGAGTGCTCATATCTTGTACTCTGAATAACTACTTTAAGCCTAATAATATATACTGAATTAACTATATTATTTTTCTATTCCTTTGTCATGAAATATTTTATATTAATTTTGTTGAGAAACAAATAGCAATGAGACAGTTTCAAAGCCGATTAGTAGGACAGTTTCAATAATTAATACATTTCATATTGTTGTCTTCATAGTGGTTATTCATAGTGCAAGATGCAAACATGATATCCTGTCCAAATACTATTAGTACAAATCTTTCTTCTCATTGAATTAAGAGAAAGTAGCTGTATATCTATCCTAACTATTTTACGTATACAGATACAAAATGGTCCTTCATTTCTATCCCCTTTTTTTAAATGGTAGTGGAATACCCATCTATGTCATGAAATTTTGTCTTAATTTTTTTCTATAAAATATGAAAGAACAGAGGAATTTCATTGGGTACAATTTGCCATACTATTATAAGCTTTCTGTCATCTATCCACATCGTTCATTAGATTAGGCTTTCTGACATGATGCCCAGCCATCCCTCACACCCAGAACTTGAGGCCATGGACCATGCATGTGTTACCAATAGGACACCGAAGCTAGTAAGGTGGCTGCAAGTACAGATGGTTTCATTCAGCCTCCTGTCTTTGACAGAGCAGCCATCAGATGACCAGCCTCCTTTACCACCTGTTGGCATTGAGAATAATATCCCATCAGCAAGGCCACAGCACCAATGAATCCCTGCTTCTCCCACTCACTTGTAAGACCTTGGAAAGGTTTTGGCTGGAACCTACCATTTCTTCCCAAGTCCCAAAATACACATTTCAATGTTAAATCATCCTACAGTAGAAAGATAAATCAGGATTAATTATCTGAATTGAAAGGCAACTGGAAAAAACAATCATATTTTAAATTTCAAAATCTTATGCTTGATTTTTTGAGTTACATTTTATGTGGTCCCTAAATGTAAGTGATCCCCAAAGAAGTCAATGCTCCTTCATTGTACCAGTTGTGCATAGGAATCACCTTGGATCCTCATGGAATGGCACATTCTGACTTGGCAAGTCTGGGACGGGCCTGAGAGTCTGCATTTCTAGCCAACTCCCACATGACACTGATGTGGGTCTGCAAGGCACATTTCAACAAGTGAGGTTATAACTGAAGCTCAATGTGAACTAAACATAGAGATGGTCTCTCTTTGGAGGTGAGAATCAGACCTGCAGGTACAAAGCTACATGCACTGAAAGTCAGCAGTTGATAAGAGCCTGATTTTGCACCAATCCTTCCCTGAAATCAGGTGGTAAATTATTAGGCATGTTAAAAACTTACAAGTGATCACACAATTCTAGTCTTACACTTTACTCCAATGAGTTCAAGGTTCCATCTGCTAGATCTGCCCTTTCCAAGCCACATTTCATGGGCACAGTTTGCACAAGGTGTTCCTGGTCAGCGAGCAGACCAGACTGGCCTCTGCTCACCTGGCTCAGCTCGATGTGCCTTAGTGTGACTGTCACGTTTCTTGTCAAATTCTTGACAGTCAGGTTTGCAACACTTGATGATATGACATAGCTGACCAGAGAGATGTTCTGCAGGGAAGGATCCTAGCATAGCAAAGAATTAGCAAGATCAGAAAGCAAATGACATATCATTAGAGTTTTAAAGCTAGAAGGGAAACTAAGGACTATTTAGTCCACACTATTTATTTTACCACACAGGTCAGAAATTATAGGTCAGAAAGCAAAGTGGCTTTCCCAAAGGACCACAATTACAACAGAACTTACACTACTATAATGTTCTAAATACTGAGTTAAGTTGCACAGATTGACATAACAGGATCTCATGAATCTTTACTTAACTTCTCTGGCCCTCCATTTGCCTCATCTATAAAATGGGATGACAATAGTTCTTCTCACAGGGTTGTTGAGAGAATCAAAGTCGACATTTATAAGTGCTTAGGACAATGCTTAGCAACTGGTGAATACTATGTGGCAGTTATTTTTCACTATCACCACCAGCATCATTAGGTTATGAATATAATAGCTGCAGAGTTTCAATTCATTTGACTTGTGGCAATCTTAAGAACATGTGAGTGTTAAATCGCATCCTCTCACCTCCAAACAAACCCCAACCAAAAGCACTAAGCAGCAACCTTACCTGAAATAGGGCTGGTGTTTCAAAAAAATTGAACTGAACCCTGGAAGCTAGCCCCACATCACTAGCTGGCAAATTACTCATCAACGATGAAGGCAGGGTAATAGCACCAATACTACTTTCAGGAGCCTGAGTTTGCAGAGAAACCTGAAAGATCAAGCGGGAAATAAAACTGGAGCTAGGATAATGAGGAGATGGAAAATGTAACTCGGGTGGAGGGGCTTAGAAGGGCTCGATCTGCGGTACTCCCGAGTACATGGGCTTCTGCTTCTGGCTCTCTGACTGCTACTAAAAAAAAAAAGGATGTGAAATAAAGGGATGAGGCTTCCAGGAGGAATGGAATCACTTTAGGGAGACGCGGAAATAGTCAAAAAATATAAGGAGACTCATCCCAGGCAGGCCCCAGCAGCAGACATACTGAATTAGCATCAGCGAGGGTAAAAGCTGCATAGAACCCCATAGGACATTTCAAAGGAGGTCTATGAAAATTCAAAAGCAACACGTGGACTTCCTTGGATTTTTCCAGCTCTCAACTCCTTTAACAGGTACAGAAAAACTACTATAAGCAGAACTGATCTTTGGCACCACTAAACAACAGTGCAGTTATAATAATACTTGTCAACATATTGAAATGGCCTGCCAAGTAGCTGATCTCCTTGCCTAGCTCTACCAACTATCTAGCATCTTTCCCTGAAAATCACCCCAGCACCTCCCCCGCAAAGCTTCCAAAATCCAACTGCTAAAGGGTTAACAGGACATTATTGGGATATATGACATCTGCTCCAGCCAAGGTCAATGTCATTTTGTTTTTCTTTTGAGTGCTGGGGACCGAATACAGGCATACAAAACACTAGGCAAGTTCTTTTATTGTTGATTCTATGGTGCTTTGGCCACTGTTCTGGATGTTACGTATTATGAACTTCACTCTGGTGATGAGCAGCAGTTACCTCAGTCTGGAAGTACAACAGGGGCTACATCATACACAAGAAAATGGTTTTGCTTTCACCATAAGAAAGGAGATTGTACCTTAAGATTTTCAGGGTCTTGGGCCGCAAAAGTAGTTGTATTGAAATCACTGGCATTCACTCTCAGCACAGCCAGAGCCAAAGAAGGGGAGGTTAGACTTATGGTCTTGCTTGAAAAATTGAGCTGTAAGCCAATGTCATCGACTACTTTTATCAATCTGTAAAGATAGTTGGCAGTTTAAATTTAGCACTCGTACTTTTTTCTTTTTTCTCATTTTTCTTTCTCATTCAAGCAGAATAGAGGGTAGCAACTTGAGAAGTCATTACGAAATTAGTTTTTGGCAGAAAAATCACTAATCACCTGAGCAGCATCTCTAGTATTAGAAAGTCCTCTCTCAGCACCTCTTTGGCTTGTTAAGTCTTACCTTTGAGCCAGAGGGGCCAGCAAGGCAGGTGGGCTATGAAGCAGTCTGCTGACTTGGTTTATCATTTCACCAGCGATGTCAGGCTCCACACTGCCTAAGGATAGAGCCCGCTCCATCTGGGACACTTGGCTCTCAAGATCAGAAATGTAGCCAGTGTTGACAACTTCTGTATCAAAGAGCCACATCATTGCACAAACACAAGATGGAAAAAAGACATTAGTAAAGATAAACACATGTGGATTTCATGATTGGGCTAAGACACTCCTAAGTACTTGACCCAGAGAAAAGAAAACATACATCTTAAGAAAATTTGGTCATGAACAATTATGTTGGCCTTTTTCTTATTAGTTCCAAACTAGAAAGAACTGAAATATTTAACAACTGGAAAATGAATGGACAGACTTTTATATGATCCATACAGTGGAATATAATTTAGTGATTCAAATGAATTAACTGTAATACAATTAATAGCATGGATGGATCTCCAATTTTCTGACACATTATACTAAGTGAAAGAAGCCAAATTCAAAAATCTACATAAGAGTACTACATTATTCTCATCATACAACATTCTAAAATGGTAAAACTAGGAAAAAATAAGTGATTAGTGGTGGCCAGGGGCTGAGGGGTACGTGTGTACTTCAAAGGGACACAGGGGAACTGGGCCTAGTAGAAAGTTTTATTCTTAGCATCATGCTCTAACCAACTGAGCTAACCAGCCAGTTGGAAAGTTATACTCTTTACTGAGGATGGTCACATGACTGTCCTTATCCAACTGCACAGTATGTTGAAAACTGTTATTTAACCATATGCCTGGATAAATTTTACTATATATAAATTATACTTCAGCAAGTAAATTAACTAAAAAGGTAAAAGCACATTAGTGTATTTGGTACAATCCACAGAAGCACAAGTGTACTTGTATTTCTCTAGTATCATGTATACAGGATTTTATGTGGGCCACTAGAGGTCTTTTGTGAAAAAGAAATGAAATCAATGGATACTACAGGTGAGAACACTAAACGTTCAGGAGGTAAACTAAGTCCTTTGGACAAAGGCATGGAAAGATGAAATGAAACCAGGGTTCCCTGCACCCTACCCATTGTTGTATTACTTCACATTGCCTTTGTGGGTGTTATCAAATGTCCCAGTTTTAAATGTTTCATGATAGGAATACAAATAAAAGAATAAAACATATCCCTCTGGTCTCTCCTTATAAATTTAGGTCAGCTTTTCAGTAAATAGTTTTCTGTTGTCAAATATGTACTGAATCAAAGGGCCTCACCTCACACCCAATAACTACACCCAGATTTTCTAGTGAATCATCATTTGGCTATTGCATACATGCAGTGCAAGTAGTACACCTATTAAGTAGTACAGCTATTTAAACAGTGGCTCTAAAACTTTTCTCTTTCCTATGACTCTGGGAGAATTGTACTGGTTTATACAATGTCTCTCTTACTCCCACCTGTGTAATTAAATACAGGCTACCAAAATTACAGGAAGACTTTTGACTATTTTTATGCTGGATATGAAATGCAGGGCCTTGCATGTGCTAAGCAAATGCTTTATCACAGAGCCACATCCCAGCCCTGTACCTGCTGTGCTGAAAGCAGGTCAGTGATATAATAAAGTTCATTTCATGCCAGTACTTACAGTTCTAGTACTTGAAGTCCTACACCCACCATCTGCAAAGGGGCCTAGCTGCAGAACACCAGAGATGCGCTTACTCTAAACACACTCCAATCTCCTGTTCAAGTCATCACTGGGCCTCGTCACAGTACTAGGGGTGTCCAAGAAGCGTAGACTAGAGGTGGAAGGGACGTGTTCAGGAAATGAGCCCAGTGAACTGTCCCCTTCAGCTGTTGGAATGGGGTGCTGTGTAGACAGTCCTCCAGTAACAGGTCTTGAATCCTTTCTTCTTTGAAATTGTTTTCTTTTTTATCTGTATTTTAGGGAAGGGTCTACAGGATCTTCAGGGTCTTACTACTAGATCAGACTCGTACTGATCCGCCTGTTTACAGCCTCCCAAGAGCTGGGATTACAGGCACGTGCCACTATGCCCAGTCTCGATTGCTGTCTCAGCTAGCCCCGGGGGTGGGGCTGGCACGGCAGACCTGGGGATCGAAAAAATCTCCTGCACCTACTTGCAGGCACTGTAATTTGCTGAGCTATTTGGCTGGCCCTGAAATTGTTTTCTAATCTATCTTTGATTTAATAAAATTATTAATAATAGCCTGGGGTTATTAGCATAAAACTACCATTGAAAAGGTAATCATGTGTTATTATATGGTTATAAACATTGCTTTCAAGCTACCTGTTGTTGGGTTACTTGTACTTCCTATCAACACTTGAAAAATGCCTGTAAGTTTCTGTATAGCTGTTCTACTGACTCACATGGCTGCATAACAATTATTGTGTTGAGGGAACATATTTTATCTAGCCATTCCTCTCCTAGGGAATCTACAGCTTACTGTAATGCTCCAATGTACATCTTTCACACATTTCTTGCTTTTCTTCTGTTCTCCTTGGAGTAACACCACAGGTACAGGAGGCTCCCTTGATGTTTCTTTGCAAAGTGTACTATGTTGATTCTAAGGGTGAACTAGAATAGCTTTGGAATGATGGGAATTGTAGTAGGCCAAATGAATGCATTTTAATACTTGTGTATTCTTCTTCAACCACTGAACCGTCCCTCAACTCAAACCCTAATGATTCAGTAAGTTTGCCTTGAAAAAGGCCACATTCATTCAAATTTACTTAAGACAGATCAATGCAAATTGAAAGAAATAAGTCATTTGGCAGAAGTTCCAAACGCCCTGGGGATGCTGGCATCATGGTGGAAGAGGTAGGGACCACAATCTGAGCTCCACTTTGATGTCACCTCAAACTTGGCTTTGTCTTTCATCCTCCAAATTCTGGAGAAGAGCTGCTTTTTTTTATTCAATGAGATGAAACTCCAAAGACTATACAGAACTCTCTTCTTTCCCTCTTTCTTTTAGCTCTGTACCACCAAATCCTTTTTGCACCTGGGAGCCCTTGGCAGTTTCCATGATATTCTCACACTGCCATTTTTCAATCCAGGGCAGTTCAAGGGATTATTTCCACCTTTACATATAACAGCCTAGGTCAGGAGGAGTCAAACCACTTGTCCCAGATCATGCTGCCTGCGAGAACCTATGTTTCAGTCTCCCAAATGTTTCTTCCCTTTCAGAAAAAGCAGGCTCAGTGTGACCTTATTGCAGATCTTAACATTTTTTTGAGGTAGCTAAAATCCCCAACTACTATAGGAGCAGCTTGGCTCTTTTTACTTACCAGTCTTTCCAGAGGTTGTGCTGATGGTGATGTCATTCATAGGGACAGACGTGGTGAGGGAAGGAGTCGAGGACCTCACAGGTGATGGGGCATAAGAATGATCAGTTTGGGGCAGCAGGGAAGAGGCAGCTCTAGATTGAGTGGGCATATCAATGGCAGAGCTGGAAAGTAGGGGAGCTGAGGGCTGGGGAGAAGGAAGGTGACCCTCCAGGGCCAGAGAGGGAGTGTTCTGGTTCACAGAGGTCTGATTGAGGGGTTCAGTCAAAGAGAAGGCACTGGAGATCTGGGAAAAGTTGGTGGACTGAGGCACAAATGCTATGGGCTTGCTTGAAGAAAATGATGCACCACGTGAATGATCAATGTGACATTCAATGGACTCCTGCAGATCACTAAAGCAAAAATCAGAGAGATACATGTAAGGTACATAAGAGTTACAAAGATGGTTCCCTCTGGCAACCATCTGAAACCACTGAGTTGTCATGATTGCATCAGAGATCTGCCACTTTTGGTTTCTGCCATTTCTCTGTGCTCCTTTCTGCCATTTCTCTGTGCTCCTGGCACTAGCCCCTGCCCATTTCCATCACCTACTTTCAGGGAGACAAATTAATGTTCTTTTGGAATCTCCACTTCTGGTTCAATAGTTTACTATTGCTCTGAAGCTCTGCGCCTTATCATTTATGACTCAATGGAGGGAATTTTGTTATATTTCCATGTACTTACATGGGGGAGGAAATTGTTAAATGCCCCATGACCCAATAGTTTCCATATACTAGAAATCTATGTCAATCGAGTTCATTTGCTACAGCCTGGCATAGTGGTAACTGGCACATGGTAAGGAACAAAGAAATGTTAGCTGAATGAAAGAATAAATCAAGCTACGGCCAAAGGGTGGTAAATCAGCTATGCTTCAATGTTGCTTTAGCTTAGTGATCCTCAACCTTAGCAATGCATGAGAACTTTAAAAATATAGACAGACAAATAGATTTTTGTGCTCTACTCCTCAGTAACTAATTAACTTGGTCTTAGGATACAGTGTAAGAGTTCCAGGCATATGTACTTTCTAAACTCTCAGGTGATTTTCCTGAGAATCAGAGGTTGAGAAAAACTCATCTTTTATGTACCTAACACTCTTGGGGCATATTACGAGGACAAGCAACTAGAGAAGCCTCTAATAGACCCAGTATTAGATGAAGACTTAGAATCCCAAAGAGAATATGTTCTTGGTGAAAAGGAGAGAGGACTATTAGGTGGAGAGGCCCCAGGCAAATCACAATCATAAAGGAAAACACTGGCTTAGTTCAGTCTGGTCCATACTTAGCCACAGGCCTCCCCACAACCCCTGAGCTTCAGGGGTGTCATATAGTCCAAAAGATGATACACTGAGCTTTGTTACTTGTCTGGACATTTCACCTGCACTTCCGAGCCTCCACTCTCTAAATTGTATACCATAGTGACCCATATGACCAAGTCAGGGAAAAGGTGCTTTGCAAAGTGTGAATTAAGTGCTCTTCACAAGGATTATTTTTTGGCCTGCTCAGGATACCTTAAGGGCATGTCTGGTAAGGCATGAAGATCTGGAGATCAAACCACAGAATTCCGAGCCTGACTGCTTTGCTTAAGCAGGCACTTAAACAACTGAGCTAATGGGCAGGCCCCCTTATGTGCTCTTCAGATCCAGAGTTAATATCTGGTTTTAGCCCAGCAGTTCTCAAACATGGCTGCACCTTAGGATGATCCTACTCAGTAGTTGTAAAAACTCAAAAGCCCAGGCTGCATCCCAGACCTATCTCTGAGGGTGGGAGTTAGGCACTTGTCTCTTTGAAACTCCCCCCAACAATTCCAACATGCACCCAGGCTTGAGAAACACTGCATTCATCTACAGCCTAGATTCTCAATCTTCCAAGTGGAGTCCAGGGACCAGCAGCATTGGCCTTAGCCAAGAGTTTGCTAGAAATGCAGACTTTCAAACCATGACCCAGTTGAGCTACATGCCAATCTCATGTAGCAGATGCTCAGTGAGTGATATGTATAAGGAATGTTGATGTGCTGATCTAATCCACTTCCTAGTTTTATAGAGATCTCAGTGCTTCCTCATTCTACATGGAAGTTTGAAGGTAAAAACTACCTGCTCTACAACATGGATACGCAGCTAGTTAAGGATACAACCTTAGCCAGACACTGGATTTACATTCTGCTCCCTTTTCTATCACCTTTTTCTTCCTAACATCTCTCTGAAAGGGTAGGAACTGAGGGTCAGAAGGGTCACTCTCTTCCTCAAGAGTGGTAGTATTTTCCTCCTATCCTGATGCTTCCCAAATATCTACTTCTCAAATAGGGCTCAATCCTCTAGCTTATTGGGGAATGTTATGCTTAATGGGGCATGATCATTTACTTCATATTACAAAACTGCTACGAGTTCTTAAGACTTTTCACTATTTTGTGAGGCCAGTGTTTTAATATATCCGAGAAGTATGGGCAGACAAGCTACACTGAGCCTTCTGTTCCTATATGGGAAACTTTAAATATATTCAAGAAAACCTGCCTTTTTGTCAAGTAAATTTTTTACCTGGCCATAGAATATGCTACCAAGTAAAAGAAAAAAAGAGAAAAAGTAAAAGGTAAAATATTCATCATGTCAGCAAGCAGGTCAATCATGGGCAACCACAGTAAACATTTCCATTCATTTCTTTCCCATTTTTCCTGTGTGTATTTTTATACCTTTGTGAACACATCATACATGACTTTGAGTCTTCTGCTATTTTGGAGAATCTATCTCTGTTTCCCTCCATTAAAAAAATTTTAAGGCAGTATCAATTTTAGTTGCACATTAGAATCATCAGAAGGGATTCAAAACACTATCTAGGCTATTTCCCAGATGAATTAAATTCACATCTCTGAGGACCATAAGTGGTAATCAATATTCAACTTTTTAATTTCAATTAATTTTAGGCTAACAGAAACACTACAAAAACAATACAGAGAGCTCCATTACCTTCACCTAGCTTCTTTCAGTGTTACCAGTTAACATCCAGAATTAGACCAAATTAGCTGTCATACTATTGTATGCTACAAAGGTAGCACCTTAAGCCATGGGTGTACTTTTCTTTTTTTACCTTGTTTTCATACTTTTCTGCTGGATGGTTAAGACCAAGATAAAAGCAAGACCTATATAAGAAGAAATGTAACTTTTGTACCTGCCAAGGTCAGTCAAATCCCCTCAGGGTTTACGCTGAAACCCTGTACCACAGTTTGTAGATCCTTTGTCAGGGTCAGCCATGTGGATGAGACATGGCCATTGCTTGACCAATTTGCTCTCTGTGAAAGCCTGAGAGAATGTTTTCTCTCCAGGTGACTCTCCTTAGGCACACTCTACATCATCAATCACTTTCCTCTGTTGCCCCATCTGTAAAAGGCTCACATCAACAACTTCTGACATTGCCAGTCCTATGGATAACCCACTACTATTATGAACTACTGGACTATATTGGATTATTTTGCTGAATTCACGTACCTACAACATTTAAATGGCAATGGGATACCCATCTCTGACAAAACTAAACAAAAAAAGGAGATACAAATGCAGGACCATTTTGTATCTGTATATACAAAATAGTTAGGATAGATATACAGCTACTTTCTCTTAATCCAATGAACAGAAAGATTTGTACTAATAGTGTTTGGACAGGATATCATGTCTGCATCTTTTACTATGAATAACCACTATGAAGACAACAATATGCAACATATTATTATTATTATTTAATGACAGCACATTTATTTATTTATGTGTATTAATTATTGAAACTGTCCTACTAATCAGTTTTGAAACTGTCTCATTGCTATTTGTTTCTCAATAAAAATAATAAAAAAACATGGGTGCAAAATGGATGTTTTAATAAATGGTGGGATCACTGGGAAACACCAGAAAAGATAAAACTCAAATCCATATCTCACACCATGCACAAGAATAATTTCCAAGGGTTAGGCTGGCAATTAGACATTAGCTGGGAGATGAACGAAGAGTCCACAATAGCAATGCTGTGCCAGTTATAACGAATAAACAAAGGTCTCAATGTATAATACATCTATAATCATTTATTAGGTCTCATACACAAAGACATAGAGCCTCTATTTCTAGAACAAGGCATACAGCATTTTGGGGATGCACAGCCCAATGATATCAGGAAGAAAAAGGAAATGTTCTTTAAAGGCACTTCAGCCTTGGACTGGTCCTGGTTTACATTAAGAAGTTAACTTTCATAAATTTCTTTTTTAAGTTTCTTAAATGATTGAAGTCCCTGTAGAGGATATTTTGCAATTCCAAAGTAGCTTCTAAGTAAAATGATAATAAGCCTAATTACCTTGGTTCTGTGAACTCCCAAAATAATTCTTGTGCACATAAAAAAAATATTTATACATACACAGGGTACAGATGCCTTTGTGGCACTGCCTGCCCTCTTGTTTGAATGCATAACTCTCTCAATATCTAATTTATAATAAATTTTATCTAGACTTATGCATGGCCACCTATGTGTCTTCAATTCTTTTATCAAGGGTACAAAGAGTAGGGGACCAAGGAAGTGAGGAGTCGGTTCCTTGCTACATCAGCAACTTCCCAGTGATATCCTTTTGGTGCCATGACTCGGCTCATTGATTTCTTGAGTGGTAGATTAGATCTCCTATGCTCCCACTCTCTGTCTCAAGGTGAGACTATAAGCCTTCACTTTATTTGTATTTATGATATGCCACAATAGTCCATGGGCTTGAAACTGTTCCAAGGTATTTGTGACTATATGCCTTGGTGAGGTATTTGCCTAGTCAGTATGGTATTTCAGGATGTTGTGTTTGTGAAACTTGTCTCCTGTTTTCTTTCAACTAGGCTTATTTGGATTATGTACCAGCATTTATTACTAAGCTTTTGTATTATTCTCTCTTTTGCCACTTTCAGAAGTTAACATCACTTTTCATCAGACAATGGCATATTAATAATAGCTCTGCTAAGTTTACTGCAATAACCTTGCTTTGAGTGCTTTTGCTTCTATATAGAGTATTAATTAAACCTAGGCTTAGGTACCAATAGATTCCAAGACTGCTATAGTTTTTTTGGTATATATTAGATTGTTTACATCAGTCTATGCATTGGAAAAGGAATGTTAGGCCCCCATCCCTATAGATATTTGACAGGATACTAACTAGTGCATCATTTTTCAAGAGGTAATCTGAGCTGTCCCTTAGTTACAAAAACAGAGATCAGAAGTAAAGACTGACTGACCACCCAGATCTTGGACTCAAGCAAGATACCTTATGACCTATCTATCCCTAGGCCATAGGTGGAGAGAAAGGGATGCCTTTTCCTCCTACTGTCAGTTTATTTTGTTTTCCTCAAAACGCGTGCACCTTTTATAAGCTTGTGTGCAAGATGGTACCTTGCAGATGGGTAATTTCTAGTTGGTTCCCTTTATTTTACCTCTGGGATTGATCTTATGTAACTGGGGTAGGTTTGATTGTTGGGCTCTTAAGAAAAAGAGATTTGTTTTCTTTTGGTTTGAGTATAAGTGGGGAGATCAAGAGAACTGGTAAATGAAAGGAAGCCTCACTTATAATACTATACTCTAGTTAGATCTCTTTTGCAAAAGGCAGGACAATGGTCAGAAACAGCTTATGTACAAGCTTCCTTTATAGCTATGTACCCTCAAAGTCTCATGTACTTATGGGGGCATTTAGGAGGTGACTGGATCATGGGGACATAATAATCACAAGTAGATTAGTCCACTGATGAGTTTATAGCTAAATGTGATGTTGGAAAGTGGGGCCTTGTCTAAGGAGGGAGGTCACTGGAGGCATGGCCTGGAAGGGTCCATCTTCTTTCCTGTTCTCCCTTGGTCCTCTTCTCTACTAGGATGACATGAGCAACTTCTCCTTGCTGTGATCCTCTGCCATGCTTCCTGATTTGGAGCTAGCAGACCACAGAGTGCAAAAGTGAGCCAAAATAAAGCTCTTCTTACTTAAGTTGTGAGTGTTGAGTATTTTGTCCCAATAACAAGGGAAGTAACTAAGACACTTACCTCACCAGATAGTCCTGATTTATGTAACCAATGTAAATTAGAACCAGGTGTGATGGCATACCTAAATAAAATGGAACCTCCTTGTTTCAGTGATTTACTATCCCTTTAACCATCTGCAAAGTACAGAAGTAGGCCTAATGCTCAGAATTGAGACACAAAAGGCCTTGGTCCTCCTTACTCAATGTTCCCAGAAAATGGTACAGCCCCACAGGTATGTACATGCTGTCCTTGGGAGCTACTGGGTAAAACTGGTCCATTCAGAGATCAACAACATTTCTATTGTCAGGATCTTAAGCAAATCAAACAGGATTTAGATAACTTTTCAGATGATCCTGGGAAATATAAATATTTTTTTTGACATGCTGACAACATTATTTGGGGACAAATGCTTACAGATTTAGGAAAGTATTGAGTAAGTTCAGGAGCCATATGTTATTCTAATGTATTACATATTTTGGTTAAGGAATATCCTATAGGACTTTACGCAAACTGGGATTATAATGACCCTGATGATAAGAGCAAATGCAAAAGCCAGTAAAGTCAAACCAGTAAACCAACTTAGCTAGCTAACATTGATTACAACTCAAATGAAAACCTAACAGTATTTAACAATTTAAGGAGGTTATGCAAAAACATACTGTGATTGGCCCTCACTACTATGAGGGCAGAGATCTTAAAGATGGATTTCTTACCTAGTCAGCTCCAGATATTGGGAGGAAATTACAAAAACAATGTCCTTAGGATCTGAAACTCCCACTGATAACCTACTAAATGCTGTTGTTTTTTTTAAAAATAACTTGTATATAGAGAAAGAACCAAGAGGGACAAAGGAATCTAAGACTGAATGAGAACAAAAAGACGACATGCTGATCTTTTTGCTGTACTACAGGGTTGACAATGTTACCTGCTGGTTCTTTCCCCAGGGATAGTAAACTAACCGCTAAATGTCATATCTGTTGGCAAATGGGTCACTGGAAGAGAGACTGCCCTAATTAGACCAACCTCGAAGGTCACCTTGCCCTAAATGTGGCATAATGGGACACAAGAGGGCTTACTATCCTGAGATGTAAGGATCCCCAGTCCATTATCTCAATTATTGTCCATGGAATGAGGAGGCCTAAGGCTTCAGTGGGCTTCCTGGCCTCTCATCACCAGCAGAGGGCTGGATCCTCTGGTATCTTTGGATGCTGCAGGGAAGATCATCAACTCCTCCTCAACAGTGAGGTCTCCTATTCTGCCATTATCTGTTCGTCTTTTTAAAAAATATTCTATTTATTTATTTATTTATTTATTTATTTATTTGGTACAGGGTCTCACTATGCAGCTCGATCTCACGGTAATCCTCCTGTTTTGGCCTCCCCAGTGCTGGCATTGCAGGCATATGCCACCCAGTCTTGAGGCTGGCATAGCACACGTGGAGCTCTAGGGTGAGCATGGCATTCAGTACTGGGGATCAAATTCAGGACCTTGGGCTTTCCAGGCAGGTGCTTACACCACTGAGCTTTCTCCCTGGCCCCTTACCTCTTATTCTGAACAACTGGATTATAACTCTTGTCTGATTATAGGTATCAGTGGAATTCCACTGACAAAATATTTTACTACTCCTCTATGTTGCTTATAGAATAATTTACTCCTTGCCCTTACTTTTCTGGTAATGCCTGAATGTTCTGTCACTTTAGTGGATGTGAGTTACTAGAAAGACAGGGATTCAAATCATTTTTGGTCCACCTAACTGTCCCACAGTAATGGATGCCTCCCTCAGCAATGCTGCCAATGACTATCCTTACTGATCTTCCTATTAAACCCCAGGTATGGGCCACAAAGGTACCTGGGAAGATTATTACCTTCACTCCAGTAGTGAGTAAACTAAAATTTTATCACACTTTCCCACAAATTAATCAGTATATTTTTGGCTTTAAGCCTCAGGCTACTACCTTAACTATGAGTTATTTCACTATGGGCTGTTAGTGCCCAGTCAGTCACTTTATAATAACCCAGACATAGTTATCAAGAAGACCAATAGTGATTACTGTTCAGTGTAAGATCTCCATGCTATAAATGAGGTGGTTATTCCTGTACATCCAGATGTCCGTGAGCCATATACTCTGCTGGGCCAGATTCCTTAAAATAACCAATGATTTATAGACTCTGACCTTAAAGATGGCTTCTTTTGCATTCTGAGTCCTAATTCCATTTTATCTTTGAATGGGCTGACAAGCTGGGTTGAAACAAACAGCTTACCTGGACCGTCCTTCTCTAAGGATTCTGGAATAGTCCCCATATTTTTAGGTAGGCTTTAGCTGGCCACTTAAGTGAGCTAACCTTAATGAGTGGGGCTATCATGCAATATGTGGATAATTGATTTATCTGTTTGTCATCGCTAACAGTGGTGTGAGATCATCTGGCTCAGACCTTAGGTTACCTGGATGACAGGAAATATGAAGTTGCCAAGCTGAAGGCCCGATTACCATCCCAAAGCATCCACTACCCAGTTTGTTTTAGGGACTTGAGCTTTCTCAGCAAAGCATACACAGGCCATTCAGGACCTTCTGGCATGTAGCACCAGAAAAAACTTCTTGCTTTCCTAGGTTTCACAGGTTGCTATCAGCTGTAGATCCCTGGATATGGCTTAATGGCTAAGCCCCTATTTGAGTCCCTAAAAGGAAATAACAACCAAACTCTCCTTCCTAGAAACAGGAACAACAGGTTTATACAAATTAAAATCCTCTCTGCTCAAAGCCCCTGCTTTGGGACTACTACAACTTGACAAACCAGTAACTAAACATCAAGATGTGGCTGTAGGGGTTCTTACCCAAGCATTAGGGGCTATTCAAATGTCTTCAGGATACTTATCAAAGTAGCTAAACACAGTAGCCAGGGATGACCAGAATACATTAAGGCAATAACTTCTTTTAGTAGAAGAATCCCTTAAGAGTAATTTGGGGGCTGGAGAGATGGCTCAGTGGTCTAAAGCACCTACTTAGAACAAGCTTAGCAAAGCATCAGGGACCGCGGTTCGATCCCCCAGCACCACATGCCAGCCAGCCCCGCCCCCTGGTGGACTGAGCTGGCCACACACACACACCACTCTCTCTCTCTCTCTCTCTCTCTCTCTCTCTCTAATAAATAAATAAATAAATAAATAAATTTTTTTAAAAAAAGAGTAATTTGGTTAGCTCGGCTGGCTACCCTGCACACTGTGCACATTGTGCTCTGTCCTCTGGCACTACCATCATGTTGACTGCCATGAGCTTCGGGACCAAGATCTTCCAGCCGAAGCCCCCAGACAAGGGCAGCTTCCCGCTGGATCACTTTGGTGAATGTAAAGGCTTTAAAAAGAAATTCATGAAGTGTCTCCATGACAATAATTTTGAGAATGCTCAGAAATGTTGCATGAAATTTGTTTTATGCAGAAATGAATCAAAAGAATATTTAGAACGCAGAATGGAAAGGCAGCTGATGGCTCGAGAACCTCTGGGAAAACTGGGATTTGGAGATTTGGTAAACAGACAGTCAGAGGCTAAGAGTAAATTGTGATGGGGGCTGGGGAGATGGCTCAGTGGAATAAGTGCTTCCCTGGCAAGCACAAGATCCTGAGTTCAATCCCTGGTTCTGCCATAAAAAAAAAAAGTTGTGATGGACGAGGGCCACTGGCTATCAGGAAGCCCTAGTGAGGGCTGTTGGCTCCTCGAATTTGCCCTGAAGCTGCATGGAGGTGCCTCGGTGTGGGTGTGGCTCATAACCAGGGACTTGGCTTGACTTCTGAAGCTCCCAAATCATTTTCATCAATTGATGCTCCTTTTAAATTCTCATTTTCCTACGAAGGAGTAGTTTAATCTATCAGTCGGCATGCAGCACAGGGTCCCCAGGCGACACACAGTGGGAGAGCAGAGCTCTGGAGTGATATCTGGCCTAGGGCACCTTCACACTGTGCTACTCAGAGCAGCTTTCCCAAGAACCTGCTCACTGAGCAGACTTTAGTCTCTTATGTGCACAGATTGTCAGAGGATGACCGATCCCAGTGAAGCACTTTCCTTTTTGTGTGCACAGACATTCATATCAGCTTGGAGCTTGGGGTTTCCCCCCCATTTTTCTTTTTCTTTACAAATATAGACTATAGGGCCAGGGATATAGCTCAGTGGCACAGTGCCCACCTGGCAAGCACAAAGTCCTGAGTTCAATTTCTGGTACCAAAAAAATAATCTAGAATACAAAATAAGAAGTAAATTATTTGGCCTTTGACCTACTTGACTTTGTTTTTTGCCATACTAGGGATCAAATTCATGGGTGCTCTACCACTAAGCTACATCCCAGCCCTTTTTATTTTGGGACAGGGCCTTGTAAAGTTGCCCAAGCTGGTCTTGAACTTGGGATTTTCTTGCTTCAGCTTCCCAGGTAGCTGGAATTACATGTGTGTGCCACTACATCTGGTTTATATTTGACCACCTGATTTTTTAATTTTATTTATTGTGTGTGATGGAGGGGGAGGGATAGTATTGGGGACTGAGTCCAGGCCCCTCACACTGAGCAACACCCCTAGCCATTTTTTGGATTTCATTTTGAGACTGGGTCTTCCTAAGTCACTAAATTGCCTAGTCTGGGCTCAAATTTGTAATCTTCTGCCTCAGCCTTCCAGATTGCCGGAATTATAGGTGTGCACCACTAAAGCTGGCTCTTGGTGTTTTTTTAAATGCCTAGCACCAAGTAGTTTTATAATCAAGGGTCATTTTCTGATTCATATCAAGCTATTCTACAAATCTAGTCATTTAGTTCCAATAATTCATTTATTGTGCCTCTGAAGACTATAATATTGAGCACATTTAGACCCATGTAGGTAGTTTTCTAGCACCCACTATTCCCTCCGAGCCAGCGCTGCTCAGGACCCCTGAATTCACTGGAGTTGTGGTCTTGCAGTGTCATGTTGCTCAGTAAGTGACCCTCCTTATCCCAGGTAGGTTTTAGCGTTGCATGTGGAGAGTTTAAACATTTTGTCTAGTGGCCAGGCAGAATATCTGGAGTGAGTTTTCTGTGTCCCATGGTTCAAAACCACGAGCAGTGGCCACTATCACGTGGGTCTGGGCTTGTGTGGTCTCTGACTTGACCTGCATCTCCCAACTGTTAGGAAGGGGTGCCCTGCCAGCCACTTTGCCTGGCTCTCAAGACAAAAAGTTAAGGTGTGCACTCCAGGTAGGAAATCTCTGTTTCATATAGATGATTCTTTTTTTTTTTATTTTTTAAGGAAGGGTCTACAGGGTGTTCAGGGTCTCACTACTAGAACAGACTCATAGTGATCCACCTGTTTACAGCCTCCCAAGAGCTGGGATTACAGGTGCACACCACCACACCCAGTCTCAATTGTCATCTCAGCACACCCTGGGGGTGGGACTGGCATAGCAGGCCCAGGTATTGAACCCCTGACCCCTGCAGCTGCTTGCAGGCGCTTTAATCGGCTGAGCTATTTGGCCAGCCTTTGACAAGTCTGAGTCTGAATTCTAGGGTTGAAAAACTAGAGGTACACTGTGGCTGAGAGCCTGCTACATTGAACTGGTGGCTTTCTGATGTAAAAGTAGCCAGATACAGAAGAAGGTGTAGGTGTCTGTGGACATGCATGGGCATATGTTCTGGCCTTGGGTGCCCAGGGCCTGGGAGCTGTAACGGCCAGCCACAGGTTCTGGGTTCTGACACTGTCCTCTAACTGAGGGAACCAGGTCATGGCTGAAGCCAGAGCCAGCACAAGGAAGTACAAGAAGAGTTGAGAACATCCCTGCCAGAAAGCAAAAGGACAAAGAACAGGGCTGAGGAAGAGATACAGGTGGAAACAAGTGGAGCTCCCAGTGGCCAAAACTGAGACAGTGGGCTACAAGGTAATGATTGTAGTATCATAGTCCACTGCACACACTAGTACCCTGGGTCTGTGCAGGTATGAGGCATTGAGTAAGTGTATGTGGGGAAGGGACAGTTCCTCCTTATTAATTGTAGCTGGTATAGAAGAGATGGGGCACAGTGTCTGCCCACCACAGAGATAATGGCTGCAGATGAGAGCCATCGGTGGGCCCTGAAGTGATACAAAATAAGTCTGAAGAAACCTCCACCAGGGTACTTGGTGATCACAAGGGTATAGCAGTGACATTGCAGGGGAGGTCATTTTGTCTAGGTGATCATCACCAAGAATGCAGTGAGGCCCCTCCACATCCAGGGACAGCCCAGGGCACCGTGAACTCAGTGGGCTCCATCCTCAGCCCTGGCACGCCACCCCTCTGCTGGCCCTGTCCATCTTTCCTCCAAGAGCATGTCAGTTCCTCCTCTGTGATGTGTGCTGTGCTTGTTTCCTGTTGCTGCACCAACTGTTGCAAACTCAGTGGCTTCAAGCAGCATGGATGCATCTCAGTCTGAAATTCAGATGTTGTCTCAGTCTGAAATTCAGACATCTAAAGTGGGTCCGAGGACTGTGTCCCTCCAGCAGGCTCTAGGAGGACCCATTTCCCTGTCTTTTCCGGCTTCTCCGAGCTGAGCACGTCTCAGTGGTGCCCCTTCCTCCACTTGGAGGACACAGCATTGTTTCTGGGGCAGTTGGTCCCAAACGTACAGCCAGAATTCTGAGGAAACACCAGGGCCAAACTGAAGGGCAGTGTACCAGACAGTTGCCCACACTCGCCAGCACTGGACATCAAAATCACAAAGGAGAGCAACTCATGGCTAAGCAGACACGATGGGACTTGGTGCCCTGTGGTCCTGGCAAGGAAAGGACACCAGGACAGGCTCAGGTGACAAGTCTGCAGGTCTGTGGCCAGTGTGACGCCAGGTGGAGCTCCTGCTTTGACACTGAGAGCTTGTGTGTGGTCACTGAGGGAGCCAGGTACAGCCTGTTCCACCTACACAACTTTGGGACTCTCAGGTTACTTTGAAATAAAAGGTTTTCATATGAAAAAAAGATTAATTTGGTCTATTATTCCTCATCAAATGACTTCCCTGTTAGAATTTAAAGGTTGCCATCTCAATCTTGATATTGTGTTTCCTATTCCTGAGCTCCTTTGCTTTGTTAGATATGACCCATTGGCCTAAAACTTTAGTTTTCATTAATGCATATAAAGAGGGTCCACGGGATTGGCAGTTAACTCCTCTTTGAAAGGGCCTTTTCTCAGCAACTATCAAGGTTCTTCTCTAACAGCTATCAAGGTTCCAGAATGGCCAACTGCTAGGTTGTTCCAATTCAAACCTTAGAAGAAGACCCTTTAGAGACCCCAAAACCCTGGGAGAGCCAACAGCTAGGAAACTTGAAATCTCTATTTAAGCAACTTCAGATATATAAAGGCATCACCATACCTGTCCTACCTTTCAACAAAGGGCTGTATGTACCTTGGGCATTTTTCTCTCAATCAGAACCATTATTAAAATTATCTGTCTGTCTCAGGTGTAGTGGCACATGCCTGTAATCCCAGCACTTGGTGATAGGTTCTGGCCCAAGTATAAATTGTTGAATTATTATGGTGGTCATCTAGCATAGCTGAAGCCCCAATACAGCAGCTTATCTTCCTAATGACTGCTTCCTCTCCCTCCCCCACCCTGGGCCTGGATACCTTTCCCACTTCACAAGGGAGCCTCCAATCAGCTCCTTAGGTGTCACTAAGCCCGCCTCTCAAACTCTGCCCCTAGTAAAAGTCCATCAAGTCTCAGCCTTCCATCATCTCAGGTCAGAAGATCCCCCATCTCCCTGCCCTTGCTCCTCTCCATGTCTTCAGAATTACAAAAGACCTCCATACACACATCTTTTATTTCTGCTGCTCTGCTATGCCATCAAAAAACCTAACACTCAGGTTTTACTGTTGAGGTAGGAGGATCACTGAGAGTTCAAGGCCAGCCTGGACTACAAAGGGAGTTCAAGGCCAGTTTGAACTACATAGTGAAATCCTGTCTCAGAAAGACCAAAAATGGGGCTGAGGAGATAGCTCAGTGGTCTAAGTGCCTGCCTGGCAAGCACAAGGACCTGAGTTTGATCCCAGGTACTGCATGCTGTGCCAGCCACGAAAGTGGGCATGGTAGTACACACTTATAATCCCAGCGCTGGGGAGGCTGAGACAAGAGAATCACAATGAGTCTGAGGTACATAGTGAGACCCTGTATCAAATTAAAAAAATTACCCTCTGCTTATTTGTGCTTCTGGGGGATATGAGTTTAGAACTGGTTATAGGCAACTCAATTGCCATCCCCTTTGTTTAACTATTTATTTTTTGGGGGGGTTGAGAGGGGCACTGGCTCAGCCTGCCCTGAGGGCAGGGCTGGTGCAGCATGTGGTGCCTGGGATCTAGCCACGGTCTCCGAGCTTGCCTAAGCTTGCCTAAGCAGGTGATTTAGACCGCTGAGCTATTTCACTGGCCCCTGCTTAACTATTTCTGATGCATATTTTTGTCCTTAACCTACTGTGTAGGGTTTAAGACAAGTCTGGGCCATGTCAGATCCCAATCCTAGCTTTAGGAAAATGACTTAGGCCTGCCATTCTATATTAACATGGTGGAAATGTCAATCCATTTTTCAGATGGTCCTAAACTCTTCTGACCCAACCACCTATATCAGATGTTTTGATCAACTCAATTCTCCAGGCCTGAAGGTTAGTAATAATGAGACCCCTAACTCCTTTCAAGCTAACTCTCAACAGGAAGTAGCCAGAATTATTTGGTGTCCTCAATACTCTAAGTGATTTTAGGGTATCATCTCTCAAGAGGGATAATGTTAGACAGGTATTTAGACATTAGCTGAGTAAAGGTTATAGTACTCAGTAAAGAAACAAAAACTTCAATGTATCATACTTTTATGATCATATATTAGGTTTCAGACCAAAAGACACAGGGTCTCTATTTCTATAATAAGGCATACAGCATTCCTGAATACCATAGCCCACTGATATCAGGAAAAGCAATGTTCTTTAAAGGCCCTTTTGCCTTGAGATGAGACCCGGTTTAAATTAAGAATTTATTTTTTATAAATTTCTTTTGTATGTTTCTTACTTGTGTAAAGCTCCTGAGGAAACACTGATCATCTAAAAAGAACAAAAAGACATTTCTTAATTCTAAACTTTCAAGTAAAATGTTGGTAGGCATCATAATTATCTCCCAGTTCTCTGAACCCCTGGAGGAGCTCTTGTGTGCATAAACATATCCAAACTCACGATCCAGGTGCCTTCGTGGCACTGCCTGCCTTCTCACTTGAAGGTATAACTGTGCATCTATTTTACAATACATTCTACCTAGACTTCTCCATGGTCACTTTGTATCCTGAAAGAGTTCTTGATCAAAGGCACAAGAACAGAGGTTCAAGGAATTGAGGAGCTGGTTCCCTGCTGTATCAGTACTCAGCTTCCTGGTGACACAAGCAGATCTGAATATGAAAAATGAAATGAAATCATACACATACTAGCAAAACAGCAAGGCAGTTTGGTATAGGGAAAGAAATGCTTCATGCTCTGAAATCACGGGCAATATAAAAAGGACTGGTAAATCTAAGCACATATATTTTTTTTAGATTTCTAAGACAAAAGTCCATGACAAATAAGGTCTAAAGACAACTGAAAAACAGCAAAAATATTTACAATATATGCCACAGCAAAAAGCTAGCATCCACAATACATAATGTCCTTTAAAGTATTATCAAATGTCATCAGAAAAAATAAGAAAAAGACATAAAATATAATAAATACAAAGATACAAAATGGTCCCCAAATAAATAAAAAAATGTTCAAACTCAGTCTCAGAGAAATATCAAGTAACAATGCAAGATAATTTCTAATCTATCAGCATAGCAAAAATATTTCAAATGGCAAAAGTAGTTGTTGAGGCTTTGACAAGTCAGAAAATTTGTAAGGCCTCCCAGGTAATTCTAATGTGCAGCTAAAATGGCAAAGCATTGATTTAGCGGGCAATGCTCCAAATGAAAACATCACAGAACAGAAAACTATATTCTCTCTAAAACTGAAACTGCCTTTTCACCCTCGAAGTTCCAACAATCCTTAGCAAGTAGGATAATTAAATGCGCGCGCGCACACACACACACACACACACACACACACACATGCACCCATGTGTGCAATTTTTTTGTTTGTTTGCTTTTGGACAAGCATCAGTAGGTTTGCTACGTACCACTGCAGCTTTTCTAACTCTTCTGGTGAGGAAGGGCAGGGTGTCCTGATAGAACAGCAACATTGTTCTGTAGGAGACATAAAGGAAAAGGAAATAGAAGATGTATGATTAAAAATAAAAAAAACAAGGTACAAGCTCATATTCACCAGTACATGAAGGTTCTTATACTCACCTTGTTTTAAGGGCAATTGTCTGTAACTGGTGAAAGAATTTCCTGGATGCCTTTTATAGAGGCAGTCATATGTATATAGTAGGTGCTTAAAATATTTCAGTAAACATTTTTTTTTCTTTTTGGTTATATGCTTACAATAGCAATCACTCTTCAGCAACTAAGAAGAATTCTGAAGTAAATGCTATCCCAGAGAACATTGTATCATGTGAAATAAGTCAGGCACAGAAAGAAAAATACTGCCTCATCTTGCTTTTGGATCTACTAGTCTTCGAGCACAGAAACAGAATAAAATGGTTGTTCCCAGAAGATGAGGGTAGGAAGACTGAGGACATGTTGGTGTAAGTGCACAAAATTTTGTTAAATGACTAAGTTTGAGAGATTTGTTTTACAACATAGTGACTAAAGTTAATAAACACACACTATATTGTAGGGTTGGGAAGATAGTACCTGCCTGGCAAGCACAAGATCCTCAGTTCAATCCCTGGTAACCCCCCCAAAAAACAAGAGAATAAAAAAATATATTGTATACTTGGAAAATTGCTGAGAGTAGATTTTAAATGTTCTACCACAAAAAATAAATATATGAAGCAATGCATATGTTAAACAGCTTGAATTAACCATTCCACAATATATATCAAAACATCATGTTGTAAACCATAAATGTATACATTTACTTGTCAATTAAATAAGGAAGCAAGCACATCCCTGTGGCAACCCACTGAACATTCCAAACAGAATTCTCCTTCTTGTGATGATTGCTTCTATCATGTTTTCAGATGATATATTGAAACTTTATAAAAAAGCAGAAAAAATAATGGGCTCTCTGAAAACTGACCAAGGACAAAGGAGTCAACAGAAAGCTGACACACATGTAAGGTTAATTACATTTCCAAATAAAATACATCAAAAATCATGTGAAAACTAACACAGAAATAGAGATAGTGCTGACTTACCCATTGGTCGAATCAATAGTCTTCCAAAAGCAACCATTATAGCACACACATTCACTGTCTTATTCAGTTTTATTGTGAATGTACAATTTAATGTGCTGTAAAGAGAGATATACATGCCAGAATGTTACTAAATTGGAAACATACATATATATTTGTAGTAACTCGGTATTAGGGCAAGGGGCACTGAATGGTAACTGGCAATGTCACCCCAAATAAGCTTGTAAACATCCATGGTCTGAACTTCACTCCAAAGACTTTGTCTTTATGAAAAAACACTTACAGAGGTTGATATTCACAGTTGTTGTATACCAGAGACCTTCTGAGTGCACACAGATACCGATTTGTTTTGCCTGCCTGCACAATGAACAGGCAGGAGTGAATCCTGGGTGCAAAGACAAGCACCCTGGTATCTTTAGTCTTACCCACAGCTGGCTACATGCCTGGTGTCCACAAGCATTTGAGTTTGCACATAACAGCCCTTTCATAAAGCACCCTAGAGGAACATCAAGGTCTCTTAAATCCCAAATCTATCTGGCAATTGAATCTAAATTATTAGATAACTAAGAATTGAAGACATTCTCTATGTTTCTTTCTACTTGAGCATTGGCATAAGTGAAAAAATTAATGTTGTAAATAATAAAAAAGGTAAAGGGAGAGAGCCAAAGACACATCATGGATAGGAACCCAACGTATGCAGTTCATGGAAGACTGGTCATGGTTTGTACCAATGAACAGTTTGTTGAGTGGAAACTCATTTTCTAGGACTGAATCTCATGGAATACTCAGAGTTTAGGAAGTTATTATTCTTTCATAAAGTAGTAGCTCATGTAGCCAGGACAGCAAGTGGATCGGCTTTAAAATGGTTATCTACCCACTACTATTATGGACTACTAGACTATATTAGATTATTTTGCTGAATTCACACACTTACAACATTTAAATGGCAATGGAATACCCATCTCTGACAAAACTAAACAAAAAAGGGGATATAAATGAAGGACCATTTTGTATCTGCATATACAAAATAGTTAGGATAGATATATAGCTACTTTCTCTTAATTCAGTGAGAAGAAAGATTTGTACTAATAGATATCATGTCTGCATCTTGTACTATGAATAATCACTACGAAGAGAACAATATACAATGTATTAATTATTGAGACTGTCCTACTAATCAGTTTTGAAACTATCTCATTGCTATTTGTTTCTCAATAAAATTAATAAAAAATAAAATAAAATGGTTATCTGTGCAACTCCAAATAATTGTTGGACAATCTTCTGACTCACTTTTGTAGGTACTATTAATTTCTTTTTTTTTTTTCTCTTTCCAATTTCTTCCTTCCTCCTTTTTCCTTACACCAAGCTCCTTCATTTTTGTTTGGTCTTCACTCTGACTGGACTACCTGTGAGCCATTTCTTGGCCATACTGGTAAACTTCAGAGCCAAGGACCCTGATGATCTTATAGAACCAGAGATTAATGGCCTGATGTCACAAACCCCGAGATGCTTCATAAGTAAGAAGACAGATGTGACAGAATGCTCAGTATTTGGAAAAACAGAAGTACATAAATCCAACATGTCACTAATATGTATTTATGTTAGAAGAAAGCCATTGAAATTTCAATTTAAGACACTTTTATATTTTATTTTTCATAAATAGAGAAACAATGGTGTTTGTAAAAGAATTAAAAATGACTGACCTTTGGGCCTCTTCTGTTGCACACACTATAAAATAAGCCTGAAACAAACAAACAAAAATATGTTATTTTGACAGTTTGAAATACCAGAAAAGATGACCCAGGACTAATTATAGATTTTAGAACCATAAGAACCATTGGAGATATTAGCTTCACATGCCTGCTGGGTTGCTGGTACATCATAAAAGCTATTAAGGCTATGTGGATTCGGCCTAGATATCTTCAGGGTTGGTGATCTCACCAGTACACTAGGAACCCACTCTCCTAGAGTTTTCATTTTAGGAAATTTTTAGTCCTATATAAAAGAAAATCTACCTCTTTGTAATATCCACCCATTGCTCGTAGTTCTGCTTCTAGAACAATAGAACTAAAGTATTCCTTCTTTTACAAAAAAAAGAAAGATTTGGAGAAAGGTGAATGTATATCTCCCTGTGAATGCCCAGCTCCATGCTTTTCCCCAGATAATAACAATTATTTTATAAACAATGTTCAGGGTATAGTATGATTACCTCACTTAGAGTTTGTAGGGTTTTGTTGAGCTCAAATCGTCTATTAATAAAATGAAAGAAACTGACATTAATGAGACCATTAGTAATGTGAAATTCAAAACAAGTTAGATTTTTAGCAATTAAATGAAGCACGTAGTATTTATTGCTTACACTGTTCACTTTGAAAATACACAGGGTATAATGAGAAATTGCTATGCAGGAAAAATAAATTATTTATATTACAAGGGAAACTAACCAGATGGGAGCTGGATCAGTTCTAGCTGAGAGCAAGATATAAATTATGGCTGAACAATCTTGTCATTCATTAGGCTACTACAACCCCCTAGGCAGTTTCTTCTGGTAGGGGACCAGAAGAAGAGCAGGCCTGAGGCTGAAATTTCTGAGGACAAGTCACATTCCCCATGCTTTTGATTTATTCTTCATTCTCTCTAACTCATGCAGCCTCTCTAGCATTCTCCAGGCCTGCCTTCCATACCTTACAAAGCCCCTCTAGAATTTCTCTCATTCCTCTGCTCCAATCCCCTTTCAACAATATTTTCATTTCTTTAGCATGGCAGAGATTCACCGAAGTTTGGATGAAATGTATCCAGTTAAGGAATTTACTCTAAGGCAATGGTTCTAAGCAGGAAGTAACTGTCCTCCAGGACACGTTTGGCAGGATCTGGAGGCAATTTTGGTTGTTACTCTAGGGAGGACACTCCTGACGTCTAGTGGGTAGAGGGCCAGGGATACTGCGAAAGTGCCTACAGTGCACAGGATAGCCACCATAACAAAGAATCATCAAGCCCCAAATGTCAGTAGTGCTGAGGCTGAAAAGCCATGCTCCTAGAAATGCGCAACAGTTGTAGTTGGCTCCAGGAAGGGTCTGGAAGGAAAAAGAGAAAAGCTATGGCTCCTCTAGACCACTTATGTGTGTGTGTGGGGGGTATGACCCCTTTAGTCAGGGCTAACCACTCTTCTTCTATTTTTAGATCCATTAGGATGTTCTCTGTTACCCCTGTTAAATGTCACTTTTCTAAAGTTGTTCCTCCTCATGACAGAGTATAATACTACCTATAAGCATAGGCCACCACATAGGCTGACACTTCCACCTATGATCTAACAGGGAGCACCTATTTGTACTGTTTTCTCACTGTGCTTTTCTTTGTAAGCTGAAGCCTACTTACCAAAGCTCGCTTGCTCATTCACTCGCTTGCTCCCTCCCTCCTTCACCTTTGCATTACTGATAGTTCATGAAAACATGAACAAATGGTATACATGCAGTCCTGCCTTGAACTCCTCTTTCAATCACATTAGATACAGAATCACATTAAAACTCAAACACCAATTCAAATGAAACTGTCGTGGAATTCAAGCACTAGAGAGGGCCAATTAATGACAGGTAACCAGTCAAGAATCAACTACCACTATATCCTTTGGGTCTAAGTCTTTTCTGTTCTTGGTTTCCAAAAGCAAAGATGGCTCAGCAAGTATTTTTCCAGAGTTGATGTCTGAAGTTTTAAGTCATCAGCCGATTACTCACTTCAATTCACTTATTGACAGGGCTCCAGTGAAGGTGCTATTGGTTATATTTTGATTCTATTGGAAGCAGAAAAACATTAAGAACATAACAAGCATTAGTTAATGTTAGTTTTTTAATATATACTCTCTAACAAGAAGTTTTTTACTCTGCTTGGCCATCTAAAGAGCTATATCTCAAAGACAGAATTCTAACTCCATGGAATACTCTCTACTAGATAATACCTTGTAATTCCATAGATAAGGGAAAGGAGGGGGAAAGTGCTGCTCAAAAGGTAACCTGTGTTGGCCAAGACTGGTTTTGGTTTATTATTATTTTTTAAATTTCTAAGTCAGTAGTTCTGATGGGCTAATTTCTGTCTTTCTTCACTCAAAGTTTCTCCCAAAAGGACACTATCAAAGCTTTCTCCAGGACAACTCCCGTATTTAACAGATCCAAATGTAATAAGGAGGGAGACTTAAGGGCAGCCATCTCTGCCATGTTGGCACCCAGTTCATGGCCTGACATACAGTAGGTGTCCAGGAAATAGTCACTGAATGAACAAGCATGTTTGGCTGGGACATTCTGAACTAATCTAACTTATGGAAAGACTGATAACACTGGGTTCACACAATCCAATTTGGAAGATTATTCTTAGATTCAATACATATATTTCTCATTGCTAGGAATTTCTAAGCCAATTTAAAATTTTAATTGGTAATAGAATTGCATCGTAATAACACTTATTCAGTAGGAAACCTAGTGAAAACTAAAATATAATTATTAACACCATGATTATTATGTATTCAAGTCTTTACTACAAAGGTAGGAATTCAGTAATATGCATTCCACTATGTTTGATCATTAAATTAAAAATACTAAATGCCATAAATAATCTGAACTTTTAAAAATCATGCCACATTGCTTTTTCAAGATTTCAATAAAAAGAATTCAAACCTACCTGGGTCATGTTGGGTGCTCTGTCTTCAAATGTAATCTCACCTCTAAAAAATACTAAAGATAAATTTTCAAAAAGAAATTTGAGACTTGTATCCTTACAGTTTGAAGATTAATACAACATGCAAAAATGCTGCCAAACTGCTTTACTAACAGGGTTTAATCAAATTCTTTGCTTTTATCCCCACTTACCCTCTTTCCAATCAATAAATTACCCAATGACTATTAACATTATTTACATGAAGTATGAACTATAATTTTATCTGGATAATGCAGAAAGAAAAGGACTTATACTTGTCAAGAAATTTTTATCCATATGTGCCTCTTTTTGGAAATTTATTTCCCATAGAGATAACTGGTGACTCTAATTTTAACTTAAAAAAATCTTTGCAAGTTTCAGTGGCAATTACATGAATAAGGGAAGGAGGCAAACAGGTTTTCTCAATAGTTAGCCTTATGGATGCCTTTTTATACTTTGCCAGTTTTTCAATTTTATTTCCATTATTAAATACAGCTACTAAATGCAGTGTCATTCCTAGAACATGGCTAAGATATTGCTTTGAGCATGCATAGTGTGCAGGTCAAACCCCCTCTTTAGCTGAACAAGTCAATGCTCCTTTTGCTCTAGAAACATCAAGAATTCCTCTTTCTTAAAATGCTCACTTTTGGAAATATTAATCTCAATTTTGTCAACTTATGTCCTGCAAGGCACTCCTAGGGGCTTTGACCATAACTGGAAATGGAGACCCTGAAGCAGAGGCATGTGGTATGCACTCCACACAGGGACCAAAAACACGTCTCTTGAGCAATGGGGCAAGGATGCTGTATGAACCATAGCAGTGTCCAGGCAATGTTTCCATAGTTTAGTTTTCATTACATTTGCTACTAAAGTCAGTTATCAAATACTTGAGGTTTTATGGACCATATAATCTCTGTGGGAACTTCCCAACTTTGGGTGCAAGCGCCATAGACGATACGTAAGTAAACAGGCATGGACATGTACCAATAAAACTTTATTTACAAAAACATGTGGCTGGTCATATCTGGTTGTTAACCACTTTTCAGGTTGGAAGTGCTGTTGCTGCCCCTACCTCCTCCTCCTCTCCCTCTTCTTTTATTCCTTAGGTACTTGGCATTGAATGCAGAGCCTTTGCACTGACCTGTCACTGGTTTTATTTTCTATTTCTTTTTTATTTTGATATTTAACCATTTAAAAAATATCTTTGTCATGTAACTCGGTAGTGTCCCAAATTTTCTGATCAAGGAGATTATGGGGCCAAAGAGGAAAGTGATCGATGATGTAGAGCGTTCCTAAGGAGAGTCACATAGAGAGAAAACATTCTCTCAGGCTTTCACAGAGAGCACATTGGCCAAGCAATGGCCGTGACTCATCCACATGGCTGACACTGACAAAGGTTCTACAATCTGAGGTACAGGATCTCAGGATAAATCCTGAGGGGATTTCACTGACCTGATCAGATCCAAAAGGTACAACTCTTGTTGCATAGGTCTTGCTTTACCTTGGTCTTAATTATCCAGCAGAAAAGTATAAAAACGAAATATAAGAAGTAAAGCCATGCTATTATGTTGAGCTGTAGGGGACTCAGGTCAACAATTTCTGACATTGCCAGTGAAGCAGAAGACCCAATACTGTTATGGACTACTGGACTCTTTTAGAATATTTTGCTGAGTTTACACACCTATAATATTCAAATAATGAAACTTAACAAAAAAGGGGTATACAGATGAATGTCCATTTTGTATCTGTGTATTCAAAATGGTTAGGATAGATATATAGTTGCATTCTTTTCATGAATAGAGGGATTTGTTCTAATGGTGTTTGTAAATAGGATATCATAGCCACATCTTGTACAGCAATTAACAACTAGGAAGAATGTATGCAATGTGTTCATTATTGAAACTGTCCTACCAATTTGGTTTGAAACTGTCTCATTGCTATTTGTTTCTCAATAAAATTATGGAAAAAAATAAACAGGGGTATGCACATAAAGAAAAAAAAACTTAGCTTTTAAAAGCTTATTCAGCTTCTATGTGCGTATGCATGCGCTGACACCCAAAGTCTGCCTGCCTCTCCTTGCTGGTGCACTGGGAGTTTCACAACCAGCCCTCCAGCATCTGTTATTCAAGATGAGCAGACTTTTTCCCATATATGTTTCAACTTATCAAACATCACATAGACATAATAAAACTAGTTATCATCCCAAACACAGATGAAACACCAAAAATAATGACATTATGAGGAATTCAGTAAAAAAGAAGGGTAAAAGGGAAGAGAAAGTTATACAATATATGAAAATAAAATGCATCTAATACATTTTCTTTTTTCCTTAATCAAAACCAGCTAATAGTTCCCTCCTATACACTACCGGGAGCAGAGAGTTTGGCAGAAAGTTCAAATGAGCAAATCTTACACTACACATTAGAAAGTGAATGTGAAACATTCTTGTAGTAGGAAATGTCACTGTTTTCTATCTATAAAACCTTAATTTTACTTAAAATTGTTACCTGCCATGGTTTATACTTCGATGTTCCCTAAGAGCATCCTGTGCTCATAGGTGGGGCTCTTGGTAGGTGATTGGATTATGGAGTTTATAGCCGACTTTGTACTAGGTCCACCTCTGGCCAGAAGAGGTAGTCCTGGGGGAGGAGAGGAGGTAGCATGGTGTGGAAAGGTTTATCTCCCTCCACAGCACCTTCCTTTGTTCTCTGCTTCTTGTCTGCCACACCATAAACAGGTGACCTCCCCCCTTACCCTTTGCTGCCATGCCCCTCTGCCATGCTGTCCTGCCTTGGAACCAGCTGATTGTGGACTAAAATGTGGGCCAGAACGACCTGTCCTCACGGAAGTCGTGGGTGTTGGGTGCTATGTCCCAGCAAGGAGAAAGGGACTAAGCATTACCCATGTACTTCAAACTATAAAACTATGGCAAGGAACAGAATTAAAGGAAAAATTCCTAAATTAGGTATTTATTACTACAGTTATATCAAGACTTTAATATCATACACTACCTTATTCCTTCCTCTTCTCTCTTCCCACGACTTCCTATCCAGTTCTCTTCTCATGACCTCCCATCACACCATATTTGCATTTTTCACATTCATTTTCTCTAGTTTTAAGAAGGAAGGGAGCCCAGAGAGCCAAATCAATGGGAGAAAAGTGGTTGTCTCCTTTCTGTATCCCATGACATAAGAGGAAAATATTCCATTTCAAGAATAGTATACTCTCAAGAGAGTTTCACTGAATTTTTAAAATAGTGAAGTCTTAGAGATGGCAAAACACACCATAAATGCTCTTGGAATTAAGCACTCAATTGAACTGGGTACACATGGAGTTTCAACATTTTAGCAGCCCGGTTCATTTTGTTCTTAACAAAGGACAACATCTTGTTTTTAAGCTATAATCCTTAATGTTCTAGGAAAAGCTTGAGGAATTTACATACAAAAAGTGACTTAAGGGCGAGGGATAAAATATAGCTCAGAGGCACAACACCTGCCTGGCAAGTGCAAGGCTGTGAATTTAGTTCCTGGTACCAAGAAAAGGACTGAATTTTTAATAACAATTTCAGTGTAAGTTATGTTCTCAAATAAACTATAAGGATATTACTTATGGATTTAAGGCTACAGTGAAAACTATTTGTTGTAGAGCTTCATGACTTGTATTAAAGAAGTTAATATGTCATCTCACCAGAAAATGGGAAGATAATTTCAGTCAGATCAAAATTTTGCTTTTTATTCAGCACTATTAGTAGCCAGGTGGTAAGAAAAGAGATTGGTCAGAGAGGCATATGCATACATAACAAGAAAGAAACAAATCATTTTTCTCTATGGAACAAATTTATGTAGTAATGTGTAATACACAGAAGAACTAACCTGAATCATTGCAAATAGATGACAAACTGCAGATGTTTCTCTGGTATTTGACTCCTGCAATCAATCAATCAATCAGTCAGTCAGTCAAAAAACAAATAAGTCAGTTGGTTAAGCATATCAACGCCTGTACTTATATACTATGCTGTGAAAAGAGTTCACCAAGAAAGGCATCAAAATGCGAAACAAAGATATCAAGAAGCTGAATACATTTGGCTGGATAAATCCCACAAAGACAAAGGGAATGAGATCATTTTCATTTAGTTGGTAAGCTATGAGACTTGACTGTACTATTCTTTAGTATTCTGGTTCTAAAAGTTTCTATCCCATTCCCAATGAACACCTCTCCTGTCTGACAGAAACGCAGTATTACAGAGATAAGTCAAGTATAGACCTAAATGGAAGAGGCCTCGATTATAGATCCTCCTTCCCTTCCTGGGTAGGAGAGTCTGGAACACTCTTGTGTTGATCTTAGCTCTTTATGCTAATGTATGTATTAAATAAAATTAATGATATGATATGGTTTCATGAGAAAAATCTACAAAGTTCAAAACACATTTGCTGAGCACCTACTCTACCCTATAGATTTGGACAGGTTCCAGATACACACCCTGCTCTCAAGGAGCTTACAATCTAGTGGATAATCCTGGCCAGTAAACAACAAGTTTTAGGATGGCCAGTATGTCAAACCATATGAAAATTCAAAGGTGACAGAGGTGAGTGGAAAATGAAATGAGACATACTGAAACAAACACTTCATACAGACTAATATAAAAAGCACTCTACTTGGTGAAAGGGCAAAATACATCTCTTCTTTAATTTGAAAAGTATTTAAGATTTACTTCTCTAGAAATCATTCCTTCCTTAATTGGATCCCTTTGGTGAAGTATAAGAAATCCATAGCAAATGGAGGAGGCAAATGCCAACAATGTATAAAGCAAACTACCAAGGGTAGAGGAATTGTTATGCTGAGGTATCTTTTGTTCTCCTTATTAGGTCTTGTTTGGTCAGAATTATAGGTGCAATGTTCCATTTCTAGTTTATGTCTATTACATATTATAATTCCTTAATTTTGTTCCTGTGTGAAAATTGGTTTGGATAAAAGTTAAAATTATGATTTGACTTAGTGCCATACATATGCTTTCTGGCAGAATCATTTACTGGTGTATAGGTATCATGCTTCAGCTAAGAGCTTTGATTCTGTAAACAAAGTGAATCTAGTTGCCAAGTCACCTGACACGTATATTTCTATACTGTTCCATGCCAGTGTTACCCACACTAGAAGGGAAAGAGCTGATTTTAAATATTCTTGCTTATAGATAGAACTCATTATCACATATACACTAGGCAAATACAGAATATAGAGATGGAAAGTAGTAATGTTTTTAATGTTATTTAATCCACTGGCCCATTGCTCACTGAGTTTTTCATTCTACAATGTCTCATCTTTCAGTTTTACCTGCACCTCCATTTCTAGTGCTGGATATCATTTTTCTGCTCATTCGTACTGAAATTTTCTCTATTTGTAGGGCTATTATCTGTAATCTTCCCCAAGGACATGGCCACAGACTGCTCTTTAAGTACTGAGTGAGAAAACTTTGTTGGAAAAGGCTCAGATAGTAAATATTTTAGGCTTTGCAGGTCATATAGTCTCTTGTAACCACTTGACTCTACCATTCCATGTAGCAGACAAGCAGCCATAGGAAACGTAAACACATGGGAAATGACAAGTGTTTCAAAAAACCTTCATTATGAAATGGGAAGTGAGTCAGATCTGGCTTATTGGCAATAGTTTGCTAACCCCTGCTTAAAATTAACAAGAAGCCTTTGTTGAGCATGCCTGTGTAATCTTGCAGCAGGTACTTAAAGTACTGTATACCTCTTCCTTACTTTAAAAAGAGTTTGACGTTCATTTCTAACTCACTAAGTTCATGATGTTGATAAATAAATGCATTACTACCAATCCCTCTATTTCTTGAGCTTCTTAGGTATGTTAGAAATACTGGTGGGGCTGGGGATGTAGTCCAGCAGTGGAGCACATGCTTAGCATGAGGGCCTCTGGGTTCCATCCCCAACAGAAAGAGAAGAACAGGAAAGGAAACTCGTGGAGTCTTTATCTTTATCTGCACGCATGTTCCTGTTAGTTACCCGATCTCTTCCTTAGACTAGAGGATTCTTGAGGTTGAGCACTGTGCCTGTTCATTATTATCTAGCCCCAAACACCTAGTGCAACTTCAGGTACCCAGTGCATCCATATCTATTCATTAAGAACAGATTTTATTTTTAGAAGGCAGGAAAAAGGAGGAAGAAATAAAAAACACAAGCCATTTGCTTAATCTTACTTTAGTTATAAAAACAAAGTCTTGATATTGATAATAAGTCATACCTGATGCATTGAAGGTTTTTACTATAGTGATTTTAGTTTTTTCTGCAAAGAAGCAATTTAGATATTAGAGCAGAATTGTTGCTTGTTTTTAGAAAAACAATTTGCCATGAGCATCATTTTTTTAAAAAGTGAAGTGATAAGAAAATCACACTGTTGACATTTTAAAGACACTATTGATGATTTCAGCAGCAGAGTGAATGGGACTCTCATAAACAGAACATGCAGCATTGCTAGGGGGTGGGTCTGGGTGTACCCAGTTGAGTACCATTACACACCTCGGTGCTGTGTAATTCTGCTTGTTTCCAGATACTGCCGCTAGATCAACAAATTCAAATTTACACTCCAGCTATGTAAAATGAAGTCCCTATCAGGACCTTCACATGATAGGTCATAAAAAGCAGGTGACTTAGATTAAAAAGTAATGTGAATCAGTGTACATGGGATTTTAAATACTATTGTTGCTATAGTCTACAATTAAGCACCCTGCTATTTTCTTTAGGAGTTAATATAATACTATCCCACTATACTGAGATAAAACTCTTCTCAGAAAGATAAGACCATCCAACTATAGTTAAACAACAAGACCACAGCAGAAGCAGGACTGTTGAAAGTTAGGGACTCATAAGCAAATATTCACCTGCTTTGAAGAAGCAAACATTAGAGATATCTTTCCAACATGGTTTAGAGACAGAGCTCATGGTTTATTACCCAGATAATGGTGAACTAGGCTCAGAAATCCTTGTTGTAAAGATAATCAACTACAAGAGTCTGTATTCAGGGCGCATATTTGCCAGAAGCTCTGTCTCTTAGGGCAGATGGGCAAAATCTGAAGAAAAGATCAAGCGCAGAGATTGGAGACACATTTAAGAATGATGCTAATATTGATGTTTCAGAAGACTCGTGTGTGTGTGTGTGTGTGTGTGTGTGTGTGTGTGTGTGTGTTACTGTAGAGTTTAATTCAATCTGTGACCTACACAGAATGGATGATGGTAGCTATGGAGGCAGACAGCACTTTCTGTCATCAGTAACAACCCTTTAAATATATTATATTGTATTCCTTAGTATTTCCTTTTTCAGAGCAAACAAAACACAATTATAAAATGAATTTGTGATTTTAGTAACTACAGTGGTTTTTGGAGAAAATGCTGGACCACATGAATATTTAAGAATGGAAAACAAAATCTAAGGATTGAGAACAAGATTTAATAATGCATAATGTAGTCTCAGCAAAGGCATGGTGGCATTCTCATCCACTGCTGGCAGGGATGTTGCTGGGTACAACCTTTCTAGGAGGGAATCGGGAAGCAGATACTAAGGGCCTTAAAATAGTCATATTGTTGACCCATTATGTGCAATCCTTGGAATGTATCCTACATAAATCAGGGATGATTGCAAAGATGTTGGTAACAGGATGCTCATTGCAATAACTTCTATTAAAAAAATAGAAATAACTTTAATGTTCAACATATGGCACACAGTGGAATACTATCAAGCCATTAAAGAAGAGACACTGACAAATGCAACTTAATATGATGTCAAAGAGCAAGATAAAAAGATCTATGTGGACTGACTATTTTGCAAAGGATATATATATATATATATACCTATATATATATATGTCATATGTATTATATGTATATAAAACATGATACTGAATAAAATATAAACCAAATTATTGACAATAGTAGTCTTAGAAAAGCAACAGAAAAGATTTCTATTTTCTTCTTTGTATTTTCTATTTTTATGAGCCATTATTTCACTGTGATAATCAAAATAACAATACATACTATATAAAATGGAGTGCTATAGCTACAAAAGCTTGGAAGTTGGAAGCTTGGGAGTGTGGTGACCACAGAATCATAGTTCATTGTCAGTCTCAAAGGAGAAATATACCAACAGCTAAAGGTGCAGGAAAGTGAGCAAGGAGACAAAAGAAACTCTTCTAACCTAATATACCACACAACTGAGAAACTCAAGAAGCCCCAGAAGACAAGCCATGACATTTGGAAATAACTTGGTATTACCTGTTTTGTTTAAAGTAGACAATACGCTTGAAGTGGCATCTGAAATAAAATAATAAAAATTAGCATAACTACTGGCATAGTGAGCAAATATGAGTTCTCCCATGATCCTTAAATATTTCACTTTTCCCCAAATCTGGGAAAACTCCGGAGTCTTGCACAAGCCAAGTGCTACTACTAAATGCAGCTGCTCCGGGTCCCCATCACCTTGTCCATTTTCCCATGTCCAGAGACAAGTGCCCAGCAAATGTTCATTCTTTCCAAATGTGTTTCCTAAATTCAGTCTGTATGTCTAACACAGCAACACTATTATAATTACAGATTTAAATAGAGCTGTATGTTGCTTAATAGTTTGTCTCCTTTTTTTCTCTATGATAATGAAAGTCCCCAAGGGCCGTGGAAATTTCCAACACTAATACCAACTTTAACAGAAAGTTTGGAGACACTCAGTGTATTTTTACAGTGGTACATGCTTATAAAGCAACTTGAAATTTTGATTTTTTGTGTGTAGACGGTAGAGGGGATAATGGGGATTGAACCCAGGGTTTTTACACTTGAGCTATCTCCTCAGTTCATTTCTTTGTTTTGTTTTTGTCTTTGAGCTGGTGTCTCACTAAATTGCTAAGTTTCCGGGGAGATAGCTCAGCAGAGTAAGCACTTGCCTGTGCAAGGGCCTGAGTTCAATCCCCAGTGCCACTACAAATAAATAAATAAATGACTAAATGAATGAATGAATGAATAAATAAATAAATAAATAGCTAAGTTGCCTGGCCTGGGCTCAACTTTGTGATTCACCTGCCTCAGCCTTTCAGAGTGCTGGGATTATGGGTACATGCTATCATGTCCAGTAAAACTATCTTAAATACTGCATTCAACTAGCTCTTAAAAAATATTTGGTTCCTGATTTAAAATTCAATTAAAAACCTATTCTATTAATGTATCTTTAAGTTAAAATCATTGTACAATCTATTATTGTGGGTAAAATTTTAGGAAAATCAGGCATTTATTGATGATCACACTTATACACACAGATTGACACACACTCGTAGATCCAAACCTGTCAAAGTAAACTGAAGATATTCCTGTTACTGTAAAAAGTAGGTACACATAAAAATGACAACCTTTGGCCCTCTCCACTGGGCTGAATCTGAATTTGAACCAGTTTTGAGCAGAGAGAAGAAAACAATGTGCTACCCTACCCTGTTCATCTCCCTCAAATATAGCAGAGTTCTTTGTGTTTTCTTTAGCATGTTGAGGTCATTTTTCTCTTTTCATACTATTTAAAAATTGATAAAATCATCTATTAAAAGGCTGTCTAGGGGCCGGGGAGATGGCTCAGTGGAATAAGCACGTCCCTGGCAAGCGCAATCCCCTGTTCTGCAAAAAAAAAATAAATAAATAAAAATAAAAGGCTGTCTATGTGAAAACCCTGTGCCTCCAAATTTATGCTGAATCATAGTGAAGTCACTAGATGTGCTTTTCACATTTAAACAATCTGACACGTAAAAGTTGTTGGCATTGTGTTGGAGAACAAGTGAAATGGAGTTCAAAATGTGATCAATATGTTTTTTTCCCCTCTTCTAGAACAGTTAGCGTGTAGAAGAGTGCTGTGAGAATTTTATCATTTAACCAGAGAGTTTAGGTCACATTCGAGGGTTAATAGGTTTTGTTTTTGGGTTTGAGGGTTCTTTTAAATTATTCAGTATATTGAATAGTTTAGAGATAGAAATCTTCAATAATATTCTATACTTCTACACAAATTAAAGGTTATCAATTTTCCCTTGCTTCAGAAAAGTTCTTACCATTTAGGCTTGCAGTTTCAACCTCTTTTTGTCCCAAGGAGAAAAACAATACAAAGGCATAATTAAAAATTAACAAATTGGGCTAAATATAGTTTTTAAATCTTTTTAAAATCTTGCCTGGAGTACCATTGGAGGAAGGGATAAAACTGACAAGAGACGATTCAGCTGCAAAAAAGAGAGAAAAAATTTAAATAAATACTTTGAAATAATTATTATGTTTTAAAGAGTCAGATCTTTTGAAAGATAATAAAAAATAGAAAACATTCTATGAGACCCATGATCACAAAGCCTGCTACTACTTATGAAATATAATGGAAATAAATTTAGGAACTACATCAAAATGAAAGAAATACTACTTTCAAAAATTTTCAGCCAAGAAAGTTCTAGAAAGTTATTTTAAATAACTTTTTGAACTATAATCATGAAATATATTGACATATTGGCTCCATCCTGTTATAATGATGCCTGGCAACACTTTCTACTGTGAGTTTAGGATTACAAAAAAATTGCTACTACTCAATATTGTACTATCTAACACAATTTCCTGGTAAGCTATTTGAAAATATGGCTGCTATTAAGACAATCAATCGAGTTAGAAATTTCCTGTGGAACAACTCCACATATACTAAGATGCTAATCTATGACATACATCTCACATGTTTAAATATTAAAAAGATTCAATGGCTTGACCTCTACCCAAACACAGGAAAAACAAACACAAACATTTTTCAAGTAAAATTAAGTTTTGCAGGAGGGAGTCTGACTTTCAGCCTGTATGGACAAAATCTGGGTGTGTCACGGCGCTTGGTTGACCTGTTTGTTTTGGGCTGCTCATATCTTGGCTGAAACACATGCTGTCTGTCCCACATTACTGCTTTCATATTTCATCATTTACTACACTTATTTTTTAATTCCACTGGTATTTCTTTTTTTTCCTTTCTTCTTCTTCTTCTTCTTTTTTTTTTTTTTTTTTGAGAAACCGGGGATTGAACTCAGACCGTTGTGCTTGCCAGGGAAGCACTTACTCTACTGAGCCATCTCCCCGGCCCTCCACTGATATTTCATAAGGAATATGACAGTTCCTGTACAGCACAAAAGTGTGAAGGACTCCTTTGTTTTGGGGGGGGGGCAGAACAAAATCATTGACTAAAGATGAGCTTTAATTAATGACTATTAATTCTTCTGAATGTTGATAAATGGTGATGCCAGGCAGAGAACAGGTCTGTAGGCACAACTGCCTTCCATGCCCAATGCTACACTGTTCTTCCCTTTTTTTGTTCAGCATTTCTGCATGGCATCTTGTGACAAAAACCAGTGTGTGCTCCCAAAGCCTCAGTCTTCATTCCATGAAAACAAGATTTCTTAGATATCACCATGATTTGGTTTGCGGAATGCTATTTTACTTGAAAAGCTTTTCAAACTCTGGAAGCTCAACTTCTAGAGGGCACAACGGCATGGTCAAAAGAGCTGAGGCTTTAGAGGCTTGCATCCAGTGGGCAAATCTTTGTTCTCCAACTTAGTATAACTCATATTAATGATAGTTCCTATTTATCAAGGTTGACTCTGTGCCAGACACATGTTAATTCATTCGACCATTGTGAATATCCTGAAGCAGATATTGCTACTTTCTCCAGTTAACTAAGGAAGAAACTATAGCACAGAAAGATTAGGGAATTTGTCCAAAATCAGAACTGGCAATGGAGGTGTGAAGATTTAGATCAAATTCAAACTCCAGTAGTCTAGAGACCCAGAGAATGTGTGAATATGAGCAAGTTTTCCCTCTGGGTCTCAGTTCTCTTTTCTAGAACATGAATATAATGACGTCTGTGTTCTAAGGTTGAAATGGCTGAGATGATGTCTGAAGACTTCCAGGCACATAGTATGTACACAAGAAGGAAAAGCCTTTATTATTAATTTGACTGAACAAAGTAGGTGACTAACAGTAGAGGATCATTTTCATACAAGGATAGAATGGGAGTTCTCTCACTCCTTACCATTCTAACATACATGGTATATCAGACAGAATACAGAAATAGGAGTCAGAGAAACCATGGGTTGCATCCATCATTTGGGCAAGACGCTTGAGATCTTGGACAAATTATTCAGCTGTTCCAGGTTTCCTTCCCTTGTCAACTAAGGAGTGGGGCTGGAGCACTTATCTCTAAGGTCCCAGTACAGTTAGTTGCCTTGAGTTGGGGTACAGATCCCAGTTCCTACCAATAGGGGTTCTAGTTACAAATTTCTCTTTAACTTATTTACTTTTTTACTCTAGGGATTGCCTAGCTCTTAAAAGCATTTTGAAAAATATTCTTTCAGTGAGGGCACCAAGGGACTGCATTTAAGAGACCATCTCATCCTATAAATGTAAGAACAGGTGGCATGTTTAATTTCTTTATGCTGTTCCAAAAACATGAACTGAAGAAATTCTGCAGCTACCATAATGAAAACCCACAATTTATTCCCCAGCAATTTACTTCTTGGCTCTGTTTGACAATATAGAAGGATCAATATGCCTGTCTTCTTATCTATGTGTACTATTGATTTTCCAGATGTAGGTTTAATGACATAATTTAATCAAGCTACTTGAGGGAAAACTATTTTGTTGCATCAGACCATATGCCATATTGGCAGGAAAACTTTTAGAATAATAATTTTCCTAAAATTTCCCAGTCATAAAATAATAATCTTACCAGACAGTGATGAAAAACTGGAATTATCAGCACTTTCTGTTGAGGAAAAAGGTGATTTAAAATTAGTTTAGTTTCTGCACAAATTTGTGGGACTGTAAAATCTGAAATGGTGATGAATGCAAGTTGAGTTGTAAACTGCTACCAAAAGAGGGCAGTATGTGAACTTGCTATTATTTTTGCACATGCTGATGCAGGGCTATTTAATTTTCTACGAGACATCACTGATGAAGCAATCCGCAATCCTCTCAAATTTTAACTGTAGATGGTCTTTCCTGTATTGTATCATGTAATGGCCTGGTGCATTTCAATCTAAAAGTGATGACTAAGATCTTCAGTCGTTGGGTAATACTCATTAAAATGTGTAGAAATGAACATATGTACCTGCATAAATTGCACTTCCATTAACTGCTCTTCTTTTTAGCACAGACTTTGTGCCTATTATTACCACATCTTCATGAGTTCAACTCCAACAGACATTGCTGGGTGTATAAACTGCGAGTTGCAGAGTTATTTATTTTGGGAACATGCTCAGATCCCTAAAAAGAAAAGTATTTTTTCTCTTTATGAAAAATAATACATGCTTCCTGGAGAAACTTGAGAAATAATAGGTAAACAAAAAAACAGAGAACAGTTAATGTTTAATTTGTTTTGTCTACTTTTTCAATTCTTTGTCCTTTTTTGTTCTTAATTTCTCTTCTTTTTCTGTTTTTAAGACAGGTACTACAGGGTCTTCAGGGTCTCACTACGTAAATCAGACTCATAGTAATTCTCCTGTTTACATGCTCCCAAGTGCTGGAATTACAGGCATGCACCACCCCACCCAGTCTCAATTGACATCTCAGCATGCCTGCAGTGGGACCCGCATGGCACACTGGGGACCGAACCCCGGCCGCTGCGCTCTGCCTAAGAAGGCACTTTAGTCCGCTGAGCTATTAGGCTAGCCCCTTAATTTCTTATATGTTTCTTCTTCCAATTTTGCATGCATATATCTGGCAATATGAACAACTAATTTAAGGACAACACTATGCATTAAAACACTGTGAAATTCATATTATTTTGTTTAGTGAAATTGTGTATCACTCATAATTTTTCTGTTTTAATATGATATTGTACTCTCTTTTAAAAAATTTTTTAAAAAGTGCCCTCCTGCCGGGGTTTGATCCTCACATGCTGTGCCGGGCCCGCCCCTGGGGTGCACTGAGACAGCGACTGAGACTGGGTTTGGTGATGCACACCTATAATCTCAGTGCTTGGGAGGCTGAAAAGAGGAGGATCACTATGAGTTCGATCTATGTAGTGAGACCCTGTACTAAATACTTTAAAAAAATTTAAAACAATTAAAAATGAAGAAAATAAAAACTACCTAAAGTTTCATCATCTGGAGATAAATGATATCAATATTTTAGCATATACTTTCTATGTATATACCTACATGTGTATATAGATACATGTATATATGTGTTTATATGTATAAGAAGGATCATACCAGAAAAAAACTAGTTCTAACTTGATTTTTCTTGTGTATGTGCTGAAAATTGTTCTATATTATGAAACAATTTTCCACAATTGTGATGGTTGTATGGCATTTCATTGATTGGATTGTCATTTATATAACAAACTTCCTTTTTCTAAATGTTTTGGTATGCACAAATTTTCACAATTATAAGCAATACTAGATTTTTGTACGTATATAGCTAATTACTTTCAGAAATGCCATAAATTATAATCCTCAAAATGCCCTATAGAAAACTTGAACCAATTATACTATTCTTTGCTGTATAACTCTCACTGTGAAGTTCAGGCTGGGCTTGAACTCACTATGTAGTCCATGTTGGCCTCAAACTCACAGTGATCCTCCTGCCTTAGTCTCCTGAATGCTGGGATTATAGGTGTGAACCACCACACCCAGCACAGGGTGCTATTAATCTTCAAATGATTTTAATTACAAAAGAACAGTGTTATTTTGGTAAACAGTAGGAGAGAACACATATGTTTGGAAACTACAACTGCCTGATGAAACATATCTAGTGGCCTCTAGGAGCTTATTTTACCAAAATGATGGCAGGTATTGATTACTCCATGAGATAACTAAACCACAGTTCTGCTGGAAAGCAGGACTAAATGAACCATGATGTCCCCAATTCTCCTGCAGCCAACAACTCAAAGGTAGGCAAAGAGTGGTTAGGTGCCTTGGGGCTCTAACTTAAATGGAATTACCTCTTCCTTAGTCTTATTCTTCAAATATAGCCCTCATGCTACTTTAATATTTTACCAGTCAAAAAAGTATGTTCAGTTAACTTTTAAAGGGTTAATTTAATAAATACTATTGGGAGCACTAGGGAGCTATCATTCACATATTAGCATGAATTAATTTGAACTGGCTGAGTTATTCATATCAGCTAGCAAAGCTCACATAGTGGGCAATGTGGAAAAGCACTGGGGAAAAATCAACATTCAGTACAGGCTACCCTGAGAATGACACTTGTCAGTGAGGGTGTCATTCTCAGGGTAGTGAAGTGTCCCAGGAGGGCAGTGAGGGTAAGTTGAAGTATAAGAGGGCATGAGTATGGCAAAAGCAGGAGGCAGCATGAAGGCACTGGAAGAGAGCAGACATCTGAGACAGGAGCGGAGAGTGGTGTTGAAAGACAGCAAGAGCTGTGCTTCCTTTATCTTTTTGTCCAAAGGCTGGTCATGGGCACCAGTGGTTTCAACTTTCTCTACTGCCAACTCTTTTATTTATTTATTTATTTATATTTGTGTATCTGGTACAGGGTCTCACTATGCAGACCAGACTCGTGGTGATGCTTGTTTTCAGCCTCCCCAGCACTGGGATTACAGGGGTGTGCCACCTCACCCAGTCTCTGTCCCTAGCTCAGTGTGCCCTGGGGGTGGGGCTGGTTTGGCATGCAAGACCAGGGTTCAAACCCTGGTCCCTGTGCTTGCCAAAGCAGGTGCTTTGTCTGCTGAGCTATCTTGCCAGCCCTTGCCAACTCTTTTGATCCAGGAAAAGGAGCTGATTTGAGTTTCGCCTTTTAGGTTTTAGAGGAAATGGACAACTCAAGGGTAAGAAGAAAGGCAGAGAAGAGAAGGAAGTTTCCTGAAAAGTCCACAAACCTGGGCTGCTACACCTGGGTAGAGAGTTTTGATAGCTAGAGCTCAAAATCAAGAGCTAAAACTTGATCAAAATATAGGTTTTGTTGGTTTTTGTCACAGGCAGAGCTGCCCTCTTTGTGGAACTTCCATGGCTTCTAGGATTTCCCAAAAGAACAGATAATTACATACTTTAAAAATTTATTTGCTTATTTTGGGTTTTTGAAACAGGGTTTCTTTATGTAGTTCATAAACTCACTATATACCCAGCCTGGCCTTGAATTCAGAGTGATCTTCTTGTCTCAGCCTCCCCAATGTTAGGATTACAAGCATGGGCCATCACGCGTGGGTCCTATTTTTTAATTAGCATATGTAGCACAGAACGTTTACATTCCTTCTGGGGAACTGGTACATGTACATCCCACATCTTAATTCCTTTCCCCTCCTTTCCTTCCCTCTTCCTTCCATCTCTTGATCCTTTTTTTATTTGCGAAAGATCTATCTCCATACTTCCTATTATCTATCTCTATGTTTATAGCAGCGCAATTCAAAATACAAGAATCCTGGAAGCAACCTATATTTGGCAACAGATAAATCGATAAAGAAAATGTGGTATTTACACACAATAGAGCTCTACTCTGTCATAAAGAAAGATAAACTTGAGTCATTTGTAGGAAAATGGATGCACCTTGAGACCATAATGTTAAGTGAGATAAACAAGCTTAAATATAGCATGGCTTCCTCTTATATAAAACCCCAAAATATAAAGACAATGATCTACTTTGATGAAAGAAGGAAATCTAATAAATTAGGGCTAGAGCTTTTTTTAAATGATTAATGTCTACTTTCTTCTTTTGGCATTGTTGTCCCCTTGTGGGGGCCCAGAGGCTCAGTAGGAGCCCAATTGCTCAGTGATTCACTTTTTCTGTCTCTTGTAATGCTCTGTATCATTTTGCCTGAGTCCAACATAAAGATATCACCACAGGCCTTACATGTTGCTGGATATCATTGTTTCTCTTGGGCTCTCTCCCTCCCAATTCACTTCCTATTTATTACAATAAAGGGGTGGTCATCATTTCCAATAGGCTCCAAGCCACTTTTAGGAGATAAAACAGTCCTATCATTAAAAAGATTCCTAAACAAAGAAAGACATTTACAATTTTTAGATTCTCCTTTGGAAACTCACAAAGAGCAAATTTTAAAGCATTATTCACTTACTGAAGTCTTGATTGAAGGCAGTAAATAAAATATTGTGATCTGCTTAGAAAATTTAGTCACTATCACACTCATGATTATTTTTTAAAAACAAATTCCATATATTCTAATTATGGTGAGGAAGAGTTTGGAGAGCAGAAGCTTTTAGTAGAAGCCAGACAGAGCTAGAACAACTAGAAACTCAAGAAACTACCACCTTGGTGAAGGCTCTTTCCCTACATCACCTCCCCAGCACTTTTTTCCAAGTGATTGCTACCCTCTACGAAACTTCAGTCCATATGGCCAAGTGTGGTCCCCTCACTGCCATGACGATGCCTCACTGCCATTGTCTCTCTAACTCAATATATCCAAGAACTCAGTCTCAGCACTCCACATCATTTCTGTATTTGGTCCACTCCTAAACTTAATAGTATTGCTGGTAATGTCAGCCAAGTAATTTAAGTGGAAAACGTCAGTAGACCAGTGCCTTGTTCTTGCTATAGCAAATTACTACAAGCTTAGTAGCTTAAAACATGAATTTATTATTTTAAGTTGTCTCAGTTACTTTTCACTCCTTGCTGGGACAAAATACTCGACACCCAAAATGAAGGAAGGAAAGTTTATTGTGCTCAGTTTGTAGAGGTTTCAGTCTATACTTGGCTGGTTCCCAGGCAGAGTGGCACATGGCAGAGGGCAGCAGTTCATGGTGGCAGAATTATATTGTAAACAAGCTACCCTGGGACTGAGGGTGT